AAATGTTTGCTGATCTGACATCAGTACAGTGCTTTTTCTCCTGCAGCTTTATAGTCTATTTAAGTTTAGAAAACTGATCAGTGTCAAACAGATCAGTGTCAAAATAACAGAGGGGCCTACAATAGCAGTGTGTCATTAATATTTCAAAGGATGAAAAGAAATAGGGCGAAATGTTTTGTGCTGCTTCTTTTTTCTGTAGTATCAATTATTTATGCGTTCTGCTAATCAACCTCTCTTATTTGGCCAAAGGGCCACAGACCACTTTATTCAAGCTGATTATCTTAATCTAGTTATATCGCATTACTAGGCTGCAGTTTGATAATAGAGCCCACACATTTAGGAAGATTACTGAGATAATGATGAAAGGGTTACACATTTGACTTGAACAACCATCATCATCACAGTTAAGGTGTCTGTTGCTAGGTTTGATATTGTAATGAAATAATCTTTATTATTAATCAAAGATCATAATAACAGTATAACGAGGAGAAACTAAAATTATATCGAAATCTAACCTTATATAGTACCACATCACAGACTAAAAGCTTGACTGGTTGTTCGTTGTTTAAATATGTGTCGCCCCCTAGAGGCTGTATGTGAATAGCTGGAAAGTCTTTCAAATGAATACATAGATATTGTATAAATAAATGCAGGGTCTTTGTTTAATTTTATTATTATTTTTTTTAAATGCATTAAGGAAAGAGGGATGGTCGTCTATAGCAGTAGTTTCCAAAGTGGGTGCCTGACAACTGTCTAGGATGCCGCAGCATCACAGCTTTTTTCCAATTTAAGCTTAAAATAACTATCCTATACCATATATTTTTTATAGCATATATTAAAAAAATTATAAAAACACCAACATATGAGCATGTCCAAACAAATATAAATAAACGAAACAACAATGATATCAAATATATTTTATTTTTTAACAGTGAATATGAGTTCCCCTTGCCTGTATACGGTTACCCGGTGGCTAGAAATTTCAATCGGTGTTAACGGAGCTTTGGTTATCTTTCTCTGCCTTTGAGAAAATTAAGGCTCAGATAAGCTGATTTTGAGGAAAGGTAACCTCCCCTTTCTTTGCTTTGCCCACCCATTTGGCTCGCCCATGAGAAAATGAACTAGAATGTACATTTCCAGAAGAAAATGTGAAGTGGTGCTTGCAGTGGCAAATCTCACCACCAGGTTGCTAGGGTGTTCTGGGTGGTTACTAGGCGGTTGCTAGGGTGTTCTGGGTGGTTACTAGGTACGAACGCGCGAGCGCTATTTGAGTTTTTCCTCGAGAGATATCTTGCAAACGAGCGAAGCATGGCAGTTGATCAGTGTTCGGATGTACAAATGAACACAAAAGTATTTTTAGTTCGTTCATCCGAGTCTCTAAACAATGGTCTAATTTAATTTTCTCTGGAAATGTGCTAATTCAACTTCCCAAAGTTTAGTATGGTCCAAACATTTCACCGACGACTGTTTCCTCAACTTGGGCCAATACAGAGCTGCCCTCGATGAACGTCTGCAAATAAATTGATCGAGCTACAAGCAACAATTTCGGATGTGTAGCCTAATTGTTCAGATAGGTAATCTTTCTCTCAAAATCGTTCAATACTGTTTATCCTTAAGTCAAACCAGTGACTAAAATATCAACTTCGCATCGATGAAAATAATCTTATTTAAAAAACCACTTATATAAAGTGGAAGCAAGCGCACACACATATGCTTTTTGCTTCGGAGCCGACAGAGTGTGTCCTCTGAGTGGATAAGCTTCAAGATTGGTAAATTATCTTCACACTCAACGAGTCTGCTTTTTGAGAGAACATGCCGTTCGCACTCATGAGAGAACATGCCGTTCGCACTCTCAACTGTCTCGACGACTGGCTTATAATAGCTCACTCGAGAGATCGATCTGTTGTGCGAACACAGGGACTTGGTGCTTAAGCACCTGAGCCGTTTGGGGCTTCAGGTCAACTGGGACAAACTCTGCTCCTCGCAGGATCTCTTATCTCGGAATGGAATTGGACTCGGTCGGTCAGATTGCGTGCCTCACAGAGGAGTGTGTCCAGTCAGTGCTCAACTGCCTCAAGTCTTTTCAAGGAAGGTTAGCGTTCCCACTGAAACAGTTTCAGAGGCTCCTGGGGCATATGACAGCCGCAGTAACACCGCTCGGCCTGCTGCATGTGAGACAGCTTCAGCGCTGGCTTCAGGATCCAGTCTCGAGATGGGCGTGGCAGTGCGGCATGTTCCAGGTCAACATTACCACACACTGCCGCCAAACTTTCAGTCCTTGTTCGGACCCTGCTTTTCTATGTGCCGGAGTGCCCCTCGTCCAGATGTCCAGGCATGCTGTGGTTTTCATAGATTCCTCTCCTAACGGATGGGGGGCCACGTACTGTGCAACAGGCACGCAGTTTCAGGTCTGTGGACAGACCGTCAGCTGCATTGGCACATCAACTGCCTAGAGTTGCAAGCACTATGCTTGGCCTTGTGCCGCCTTAAGGGGCTGCTTCTGTCACTGCGACCATTGCATATTTCAACCATCAAGGTGGTCTAAGTGTAACGGAGGCCAGCTAGTAGTTGCTGTGCGAGTAAACCTCACTCCCCGATCTCAATAGGCGCTCTAGCGACAGACGCTAGAGGCTGCATTCGTAGGTCATTCGTACGAATTAGACACTTTTTAATCACGTACAATTTGGTCGTGAGATCGGGTTGGGGTTACCATACAAGACGTTACGAGTCGCACTATCCTTAATCTACCCCATTATCAAGAGGTTGTGGTTGTAAAAGCAGGCACATGTATCACATTAAAATGTCTGCGACACAGTTCCATGCACAGGTATTTTAGTTTCATTTTTTAAGTTATAAGGTCAGGTTTGAACAAAGCAAATGAGAAAGAAACTAAAGAAAAAATGTAGGCTAATTGGAGTTGCTATTCAATGATTCCCACATAAAGTAATTCGTTGACGCCTTGGGAAGCATTTGGACATGCTTCAATATCTGACGCTTTAGGCGCCCTTTAGCGTCAGTAAGATGACGCCCTAGGATCGCGGATACCCTACCCCCACCCCACACCTAAACCTAACCGCGTCCTCTAACTGACGCTTTCCTTTAGCGTCAGTTGGATGACGCTGTAGGATCGCGTCATGTAAGTGACGCTAAAGGACGCCTAAAACGTCAAATATTGAAGCATGGTCAAAGGTGACGCCTTGGGGTGAGAATGCGTTGTAAAAATACACTTGACTGTTAACAGTGAATTGACAGTTTGAATGTTTTTGTTCACTTTTATTTATTTTGAGGATCTGAGGGAATCGTTGCTTTCAGTAGGCCCATGGCTATAAAATAGGCTATACAACAAATGATATTTAAACTCACACAGACACTTTTATCATTAAATAAAGCACATAAACAATATAGGCCTACCTGAGATTTTCATACTTTCTGTAGTTGTTTCAGCCGCAATGTCGCTGAAAAATATAAACCATTTCTAAAATAGAATCATCGCTTGTCACTGTAGGACACCGACTTTTGTGATGCATTCATAATAAATTCATGCTGCTGTTTATGCTTCATTTGTTGTTTTCTCATTTAGATTTAATTTTATATGGGTCAAAATCACTATAAAGTGCCTTTGGTGTCCTCATCAGAATCACTTAGTCATCACGAGCATAATGAAAAATAATGAAATTCTGAGGATTTATGATAAATTAACAAACATTTACACACATAGAAGTACAATGATACATCTCTTGAAATGTGTTTGTCTCATTTTATACCATTTTCTTTGGATGTAAGTGACTTCTCTGGCATGTGTACCACACGCTGCTTAGCTAACTTCAGTGAGTGTAAAAAAGTGGTGAAAAGACAATAAATTTAAACATATTTTTGAATATTCTTATTTTTCACAAGGTTGTTTGATAGAACAAGTCAATGATCATTTAAATGCTATTTGCATAATGATTTTAAACATTTGTATGTACATTTATGTTTAGTTTAATTGGTTTGGGGTGCCATGGGGAAAATTTTCTACAAAGGGGTGCCATGCTTTCAAAAAGTTTGGGAACCATGGTCTATAGGAATAGGGTCTATGCTGGGGAATAATGAGCCTAGGCCTAGTATATGATTATGGAACCAAATGACTGAGAATGAATAGGGGAGAGCGGGGTAAGATGAGCCTGTGGGTAAAATAACCCACCCCCTTAATTTTGGCAACAGTACACTTTTATTGTCATGTGATCATATGTTTTAGAACCACCCATCATTTGACCAGATTGTGAAAAAAACATTTGTGAAAAAACAGGCACACATTTACTTTGAAAACTGTTTTTGGCTCATGATCCATGATCCATATGTGGGGGTAAATTGAGCCTGCATTTTAACGTATACCTTACCATAAGGCAGTTAAGTTAAATCTCTGAGGCAGCCTATAAACTGGTATAATTTCAATCGAATCTTTCCATCTGGAGTCCATAATGGCCAACGCATTCTCACCCCAAGGCGTCACCTTTAACCATGCTTCAATATTTGACGTTTTAGCGCCCTTTAGCGTCACTTACATGACGCGATCCTTGGGCGTCATCTTATTGACGCTAAAGGGCGCCTAAAGCGTCAGATGTTGAAGCATGTCCAAATGCTTCCCAAGGCGTCAGTTAAGTGACGCCTTGGGGGTGAGAATGGGCTGTAATGGCCTGAATGTTTTACAGAATACAGCTTTTTTCAAATGTAACATTCAAAGACAAATAAAAACGAACATGATATAAAAGAAAGTGTATCGCTTGGCATTTTAGAAATATAAAAACAGAAAAATGCTCAGTTATGTAGTTTCTTTCCAGAGCGATACATAGCCTATAGGCTACAATAACACTCACCTCAACACATTCAAAAATGCAGGTTTGAGCATTTATATGATGTTCATGTTTTTTTTTCTTCATGTTTTTATTTTAGTGGAATAATGCGGCTTTCGACGACGGCCCAATTACAAAACTGCTTAAGGTCGATACTCTACATAAAGCTTGTAACACTTAGTTATTTTTAATGAAACGTTCAACCGACACAGATGTAGGCTACAACATTTCCATACTGATTTACATCAATGTTTTACTGGACTATGCCATAGCATGCGCTGTGCAAATGCATGCGAATATGAACCATACGCTGTTATTTATCACAAATTCATAGGCTATTAATAGGATCATATTAGCAATGTTTACTGTGTTATGTTTATGATGTCAATGGTGGCTAAAGTTTGCACAGCTTCACAATAGTAACAACAACTGTAGTGGTATTACAGAGTCAGATGTTAAATGAATCACAGCAGATGATCTAAATATAGCTGCAAATTAAATATATTACGGAATTGTAAAATCTACAGCTCGTTCCAGTTAGGCTATACAATTCTATATCCAATCCATATATATAATCACATGATGTCATTTGTATATTGTATATAAAACATTGACTTTTTAAATCTAAGATGGTAGGATATGGCATGCTAAACATTCAGCCGTTTAATGAAATTAACAATATATTGTCTATAACAAGCCTGAATTTGCTTAATCATACTCATCCAATGCCTTGTACTTAATTTATTTTTAATTTTACAATGTATAAAATGACAGCACTGAATTATATCTGCATATAGAAAGGTAGTTACAGTTTCTAGAAAACGAACATTCTCCTTTATTCGACACACGTGAGTAGTTTCAGAACAATCATTCACTGATCTGCACTGTTTACATTTGGCACTTTTTTTTAATTAGAGGCACAGGGCAAACAAACACCGAGCATGACATGCCTTGTGTGACTGTCCTTAAATTCAGCAGCCAAAAAAGAAGATAGAGATTTAAAAAACGAAGGTATTTGTGGTGTGATTCCGCTGGTTTCTCAGGCACAGGTGACTCTGATGTCATAGGTGTAAGCCCATAATGGGTTTAGCTGTCTGGGGAACCCTGCCCAGAGTCCTCTTGTCATCTGGGCAGATAGCTGGATACTATAACACTGTGGCCTCTTCCATGGCGTTTACCCACCTGCAAAATTATAGTTTCTTTAACATATTTCTGTTGATTTCATTTGTGAATAAACAAACAATCTGGTTTCTCTAAATGTGTGGATATTTTCATGACTCTTGTGTGTCATACCTGCGTGTAGTATGCTGGTCATCTGCTCTGAAGGTGTAATACAGAGTTTTTTTATGGTAGAGCTGGAAAACATTGTCTGTGTCTTCCCCTTCTGATCGATCAGGCAGCTTCACAGTAAAACCCTGCAGAGGAAGACTTTCAGAAGCCACTTTATCCTGTAGACACAGAAGAGAAAGACAGTTCGAATATGCGCAGGGAGGGGTTGTATGCTACACGGTACTAAAAAGTATCATTATTTTACATATTTCAGTAGCTGAATCATGAAAAATGTGCTTCTATTTAGCACAGATCAGTGAGTCATATTTAATAGCACTGAATAAATAAACATTTTTAATAAAAAGAAGTGTTTCTTGAGCACCAAATCAGCATTAGAGTTATTTCTAAAGGATATGTGACACTGAAGACTGGAGTAATAATGCTGAAAATTCAGCTTTGATCAGAGGAATAAAATGCATTTTATGAAATATTCACATAGAAAACAATATTACTGTTTTTACTCAATTTGTATTAAATAAATAAAGCCTTGGTGAGCAGAAAAGACTGTACTGTATCTTTTCTGCCTATTCTGTGATCAATTTATTTACGTTATATGAAATCCATGTGGACTTAATGCACAAGTGTTTGTAGTAACACTACTTAAATATTACTAAAATATTAGTATTATTGTTCAGCAATGTATTTGATTTCTTAGTGAATTAAAAGCAAGAGATAAGATAAAAATAAAAAGGTAATCCGTTGTGGCTTCAAGAAAGTCTGCCGTTGACATTGCAAATGCAAAAAAGCTCTGTGTCAATGTGGAGGAGACTGTGAAGGAGACATTGAAGAATAGGTTCAACACCAACAAAACAATCAAACAAACATGCTTCTGAAATTATTATATTTAAAGTAAATCTTTGAGTTTGACATTATTTTTAAGCTATGTTGCTAAGGTCATATTGAATGTTCTACTCTTCACAGTTCCTGTATTGTCAAGGTTAACTCTACACATGCATGCAACAGACTTGATATTGTAAAATCTAGCCTAGGTTCACAGATACTGTGATTTCCTTTTCACAAACCTGAATTCAACATTAACTATTCACCTAAACAGTTTATGATATTGTATAGTATCATTGTAATCCTTTACCATCAGAGTAAGCGCAAACAGAGTTAGACATCATCATTTCTGTGTTATCACGTTTGATTCAGGAGATATGATACAAAATATGGTTATGGTGGAAAGTAAAATGGCCTTATTGAGATGGCTCTATTTCTGAAAATGTTCATTCACACTTACAAGTTCACACTTACAAATAATCAGATAAATAGTAAATAGTATGCGTTTTTGGCGTGCTATCTGAGGAGAGGGGTCCAAACTCTGTATTTTAGCCAGAACCCAGAGTATTCCCCTGGGTCTTTGGTTAGGATACTGTAATAACCTTGTGTAACCAAATATGGGGAAACTTTCAAGGAACATAGGTGAATCGGCTGCATATATAGCCTCCTCTCAAGATGATTGGATAGATTATTTGAACGCATTCCTTCCTAATATAGTTTGTTCTCTAAAATATGGGTCACTAAAGCCCCGGTGAAAATAGAATTGTTTAAAAAAATATTCTAGTGATCGTGATGTGTCCATATACGCATATGAGAGTTTGTGTGCACGTAATGTAGTGTCTGTGCTGGTGTGGGAGACTCTGGGTCCCCTCACCTCTCGTGCTTTAAAGGTGTAGAGCACCTTGTCTTTGAGCAGAAACCACAGCCTCTTCCACTTCCTTTTGCTCTTTTTGCGCCTTTGCAGACTGCCACTGATAGTGGACCCCTCTGCACCCACAGATACCTGCACACATGGAGTACATTTAGACACATTGTGTAATCATGTTTTAAACAAAAATACCATAAAATGATTCAGATGTGGAAGTGAAGGAGCAGGGGAGAGTCTCTCTCTCTCTCTCTGTTTGTGTTTGTGTGTGTGTACCTGTGTGAGAGTTGAGCTGCTCTTTCTGTTCCTCCACAGGCTGGGCGGCTGCAGGCTCTGGAACACAGCAGAGAGAGGCCTGCTGGCCCTGTTTGTGCGGGGACTAGCGCTCCCACATGATCCAGGAATATTACCACCTACATTGACATCATACACTAACATTAACTAGACAGAAATCAAGATTATTTTAAATGTTTCAAATGGAAATAGCATATTTTGTTTAAACAATCAATTGTAGATGAATAATGATGAATATTGAATATTTTGGAAAATATTTACAAAAGAAACTAATTGTGACTCTGCGTATTAAAGGGATAGCTCACCTAAAAATGTTTGTCAGGGCTGGACTGGCCATCGGGCATTTTCCCGGTGGGCCGACGTGGTTTGTGGGCCGATACATCTCATACTTTATTTTTATTTTTATGTCTGAACGGCCCATAAAACATGTATATCGGCGGCCCATTGCGTTTAGTTTTGTTTTATTGGCACGCAGCGCTGGGATCTTTGTGCCAGTGTAATGTATTGGACAAAAAAGTCAGTAAAGGGTCTGGCGCATGAAACTTGCGTATATCAGCAGCCCATTGGTTATTTTCTTGATTGACACTGGGCTGGTTCAATCACATCTTTAAACACCTCCCCCTTTAAGCTCTGAGTGAGCGAGCAGTGTCAGTGTGTATATGTCTAAATATTCAGAGCGATGGAGAAGAAACGCAAGGAATGTGCAGAGAAATAGCGTGAAAAAAGGAGAGAAATACTGTAAGTGAGTACAGAGAACTGTGGTAAGCAGAACTAGGCTCCTTTCAGAACACTTAGGCCATGTTGGTACCCGCTACCCAGTTACGTATTATTTCCACATCTGCATATTTGACGATTAAGCATTTTATCAGAATTGTATTGAGACGAGTTTGCAAACCATGTTTTTTGCCAAAAATAAAAGCTTGATGCCATTTCCGTCAAAATAAAAGATCATGTGCTTATCTGAAAGAGCAAGTATAGAATTTAGGACGAATGTAATTATGAAAGGTTGCTTTTATTTTTCAGTGCATTTGTTTTACAACATGTGGCTATACTGCCATGGGATTAATATTATAACTATTATTTAGTAGTGTAATGACAGAAACATATCACAACTAAAAGAGTGTTTCTTTGCTCAATTTGCACACTGAATATACTCTCAAAGTGCACTAGATTGATGAATTTAACATTAAAAAGCACATTATTTCCTTACAGAGGAGCATGCCCCCGAACCCCCCTAGAGGGACAGAGGTGCAACTCACCACAGATTTCCCAAAATCCTGTAGGGAAAAAAAGGTATCGCAATCCCAAATGCAGCATATAGTTTGTTTTAGGATTCATTACTGTAGCAATGTAGTTCAACTTAGAAGTTATTTCATCTGTAAACTCTTACTCACTCCTATTCACTTATTACATGGCATTAGTGGTTTTAATAGGAGTTGGTATATATATTCAAGGGCGTGCAGAAGTTCAGTTGTGCTAGTGGGCCAATCTGGGCCAAAATTGATGAGTCCCTCCAAAGTAGGAAACAAAATAGTATGGAAGTCAATGGGTGCTGTCAACTGTTTGATTACCAACATTCTTTAAAATATATTATTTTGTGTTCTGCGGAAGAATAAACTCAAACAGGTTTGGAACAACATGAGGGTGAGTAAATGATGACAAGATTTTCTTTTTTGGGTGAACTATGAAGGATTCAGATTAGCATCCAATCAAAGTGAACAGTTTAGATGAACGATTTCTGTACAATTTTTAATCCTAATTTGTATAGCAAACTGCATAATTTTGCAGTCTTACCCCTCTTCCTGAGCTCAGCATAGCAGTGATCACAGACTTTAGCCATCCTATCCTTCAGGTACTTTAGAGGATACCTGTTCCGCGAGCAGGAACGACACACAACCTAAAAATCATATGAATAAAGCAGAGATGCTAATGTCAATAAATAGAAAGTAGGGTGACAATTTAATGCTGATACTGCAGTATACACTAGCCTACTGTTTAAAAGATTGGGTCAGTAAGATTTTATTAAATTGATAAGCATTAAATTGATCAAATATGACAGTTAAGACATCTATAATGTTACTCATCTTTTTTGTTTCAAATAAATACTGTTATTTTGATACTTTATATTCATTCAACATTTTAACAAATGTTTTTGAATACCGCATTTTATTTTAAACTGAAATAATATTTCACAAACTTAGTTTTCCTGTATTTTGATCAAATAGATACAGCCTTGGTGAGCATAAAATACAAAAAATCTTACTCACCTCACACTTAATCTGTTTTAGTAAGTATTTTCTTTAGATGTTTTATTTTTAAATTATTTATTTCTTAAAATTTAATTGTTTTTATTATTTTATTAATTATTAGCCTTTCCCCTGTTGTTGTTTTTTTTCTCCAAACTCTAGTATGGGAAACCCTGATGTTATGTAATGTTTAATGTACTTCATGTTGTTGATAACAAAAAAAAAAAAAAAAAAAGGAATAGTTTCCCTTTCTTTTTGTATTTTTTTTATCATTATGGTACATGATTATACTATTCAAACCAATGTTATAAAAAAAGTTAGGTCAAAATAAATCTAATAGTAATCAAACAGTAGTCAGATTATACTACCTCAGATGTGCAATGTAAAAGATTATGATAATAACTGTGCACTATAAAGTCACTAAAGTTATGGTAATAACTGTGCACTATTCCTGTGAATCAACTAAATAATAAACAAAACTCTTCCCTGACACAAGAGGGAGCTGACACTTCTTTTAACTGACCAAGTACACGTTACAGATCTTTTACCTTTCCACACGCGTTGCAGTGATGCCGTCGCAGTGTCAGGCTGAAATCCGACGTGCAGTTCATGCACATCATCACGTGTGACACAGGAACCAGAACAGGAGCAGCCTCTCCCAGAGACATCCATAACTTCTCTCTCGCCTGGAAATTTGGATAGTGAAAGCGAATGTGATATTTTAACACATTTCATTTAGGTTTTTTACAGAGGACCTGTTGTACTTTTTATACATTTTAAACCTTCTTTAGTGTGTAATGTTGCTGTTTTAGCATGAATAAGGTCTGCAAAGTTACAAAGTCACTGAAAAGGGAGATGTTCTCTATATCATTAAAGGGTTAGTTCACCCAAAAATTAAAATTATGTTATTAATGACTCACCCTTATGTCATCCCAAGCCCGTAAGACCCCCGTTCATCTTCACAACATAGTTTAACATATTTTACATTTAGTCCAAGAGTTTTATGAAGATGAACGGAGGTCTTACGGCTTGGAACGACATGAGGGTGAGTCATTAATGACATCATTTTAATTTTTGGGTGAAGCACTGATTCTGACCTCCCTGAAACACCTCGATTGTAGTCTTGAGTTTTCTTCTGGGAACGCACACATCACAATATATCCATCATTTAAATAATTCCTGCCTAAGGCATACACAAAATAGTAGTAGTGTGTTATCGCCATGTCTAAATGACGCTGCTTTTTCCGCACTGGATCTGGATCTAACATGCTTAAGGGTGTGATATTTCCAAACAAGCTTGAAGCATTTGACCAATCACAACACACTGGTCCAGCCAACCAATCAGAGCACATTGTGCTTTTTAAGCAGTTGGGCTTCATAGAGAAAGGAACTAAAAAGAGTGTTACTGACAGACTGGGAAAGGTGCTGCAACAATAAAATATGTGAAAAATAATGTTTTTTTGAACAGTCAATGATGAAAACTTGTTCCAGTAGACCCCAAAAACAAAAGGGCCTATTATTAATACTTAATACTAATGCAATATACAAAAGCTTTGTGATGATGTTCCTTTTGTTGCTGTTTTTATAACTGGACCATACTGTAGATGTTTTTGTATGGCGGCAGTGTAAGATAATATCCTCACACCTCACTAGAGCAGCTGAAGGTATTGAGGCCTGCAGCGTGATCCGCTATAGCCCGGCTCAACGTGTGGAACCAGTCTTCTCTCTCTCCCAAAGAACTATCAGAGACAGAAAGAAGCCATGCTTGAAGAGACTGAATGACAGTGGATATCAGTAGACACATGCAAAGAATTATGGAAATGCTCATTACCTTGCTGAGAGGGTGATGGTAACCTCGCTGACTTCTATTCTGAGCGTGTTGAGCACATTGTCTATAACAGGTTTACTGACCTACAGACACATGAAAACATGAAGAGTTCAGATGCAAAAGCCTCTAAATTAATAGGTAATTAACATTGCCATTTAAGTGAAACCACTGAACTTAAATATACAAGCTTGATAAAAATGATCATTCTAGAAGAAAATTTCAAATGGCACTTAGAGGCTTTTGCATCTGAACTCTTCACATACATTTGAATCACATCTCATCCAATGGAATCAACCATTTTATTTCTTAGTTAGATAAACAAAAAATGAAACTGATCTTCTGAGAAGTGCTGCTTTCTTACCTTCATTCCACTTAAAGTCAGTGTGTTCTTCAGCCTGTATTTACCATCCTGCTGAGGGTAGGTGTACAGCATCACGTCATTCATCTGCAACACACACATTCATTTAGTTAAAATGAGAAAATTCCAGGGATTTATACTGTTTTTATTTACTTTATTGTTAAACCATTCCCCTCCCTCTAGCATCGACATCTCTTCTCTGATAGAGAAGCTATTTTACTCGCTATTTTTAACTAACATGATAATGTTTAGATTAGATATTTCAATTATTTAATTTTAATTTGAAATATAAGCATCATTTTTACAACTATAGACAATAACAATATAACCCCTAATCTTATGTATGAGCAAAAGTAATAGTAATGCTTTCCTTCTATTATTCTGTTGTGTTTATTTTCACCAGAAGGAGGCAGTAAAAGCTTTTAAACCTGTGGTTCTCAACCTGTCCACACCCCCCACTACCCTATTTAAACGGGCACTTGGCAACTATTTAAACTTAATAAAAAAAATAAATAAATAAAAAAAAACGTTTAGAAATCATTTGAATGGTTTATCAACCTGTTCTGGAGAGAATGGTGACTTTCCCCGCTCCCATCAACCAAGTCAACCAACCTTGCAACATGGCACATGACACAGCTGCTTTATGGCAATTTGACATAATTCTATGATACTGTGTATGATGCATTACTCCATGGGAGACATAGTTCCACACGATAAAGTTGTCCGGCTCCAATAATAACAAATGAATATGAGCAGAGCAACAGTAAAAAGCGTGAGGAAGGTGCTGCCAGAGACTTTTTTATGAAAGTGTTGAATACACGCCGCACAGCTGTACGGGGAGCTCAATGAGAAAACATGCGACAACAAAACTGAAAATCAGCAAAGAAATGACTAGATTACGGTTGCCAAGTGCCTAGGAGTGCCCATAGATTACAATAATTGTAAAACTTTTTTTATAGAGTCCTTGTTACACATGTACTTACTATAGTTATAACAGTAATGCCTAATTACAACCCACTAATCCTAACCCTAGGCTATAGCAAGTTCAGGTTGTGAATTAATATTACTCAGTACTTATTTGTATAGTTACACTGTAACAGGGACACCTTAAAAATAAAGTGTAAAAAAATTAAATAATAAAAGATTATAAAAAATAAACCAAAATTAGAATGACCTTTTTGTTGTTTAGGTTATTTTAGAGCTTGTTTTGTCAATTTTAGTAATGTTGAGGCTTTGTTTGAGGTTTGCTGAGGGCCCCCTAGTGGCCCCAGACCCTTGGTTGAGAATCACTGCTTAAAATAGCTTTCACACAATGTATTTCATTCCTGCCTTTGCAACACACATTCTCTTCAACAAGTGTAGCACGTTCGGTTTCAAGAAAACAATTCACGTGTTCAATTCAATAGGTTTATGGGATATTTTTCCATGCTTCAGTCCTGACAATGAAGTAGCCGTGATAGGAACACAAGCTCACGCCCACAAACAGACAAGCCCTAAAACTTCAAACCATTGTGTTTGCTTGACATATATAGCACCAAACAAAAGTGGTGACATCATCAGAAATGCAATGTGCGTGCCCCAAACATCCGCAGTTCACAGGCAAGGTCCAGGAATTCAGTCCGGATGCTCCCGAAAGGCGGGAGGAGGCCTTTTTTTTGGGTGGAGGCAGCAAGACAGGGACAACAAAAATGTCAACACTAACAGCCACAACAACCCGCAAATGCTACAAATTCTCATGTAAATAGTGCGTGTGTCCCTTGAGACTGGAGCAACAAACAACTGGTCCTACAGTACAGTACGTAAAACCTCCATAGTGATCTGATATGATTACAGTAGCCATGGTTCTAAAAAAAAACTGCACCACAAATGTTACTTAACTAAAATTGTATATGTCTCAAACAATAAAGCTTATCCCAGATGAAAATATCTTAGTAGGATTCCTATAACCTTTGACCAGTGAATTTTACGCAGACTTTTCCATTTGTTTATGATAACTGGATAAGGATTTTTGATCATTTTATGGACAGATTTTTTTTTAATCTCATGTAAAATAATTCAATACAGTTATATAGCGCTTTTCTCTAAACACAAAGTTTTTATACAGTGTTTGTTGATGCGACGGCAGCCATATTGCACCAGAACGCCCACCACACACTAGGTTACTGGTGGAGAAGAGACAAGAGATTTTTTTGTGTCTACAGAGAGTCAGGACCTCGGTTTAATGTCTCATCCAAAGGACGGTGCTCTTTGATAGTATAGTACCCCGGTCACTATACTGGGGCGTTAGGACAAAAGCTCTATTACCGTACGTGGTGGTAGACGGTAATGCAGTAATTGCCAACTGCCAATAAAATCTAACAAAGAAGAATACAAATCTTCTTCTTGGATAACTGGATAAGGATTTTTGATCATTTTATGGACAGATTTTTTTTTTATCTCATGCAAATTTTATATAGAAGTTTATAAGATGTTTATATATAGAGGGGGGGGGGGGGTCTCCTCAACCATCACCAATGTGTTGATGGTGATGAGACCTGGATGATGCGACAGCAGCCATCTTGCACCAGAACGCCCAACAGTTATCCTTCTCCTTATTCAAAATAATCGGAATGTTTACATCGTCTGGCTCCGCCCCTGGTTACTTTTGATTAATTTGTGAAATTAGTAGCTTACACAAATTACAAATAATAGTACTAAAAACAAAATAATCATTTTAAATCACTTTTCCAGGTCTGTAAATCCAGAGTTATTTTAGTATTATATATTTACTATAATAAAATTGTTCATATTTTAAATGCGCTTTTGTTTTTTATCTTTTAATTTTTACTTTTAATTTTAGTAGTTTTAGTAATTTTATGTACATTTTGTTTTTGTAATATTTAGCTTTATTTTATTTTATTATTAATTTTAGTAACAAAGCAGCATTTGTAATATTCATTTAAGTTTTTAATGAACTTTTTAATGAAGTTTTTAATTTAACTTTTTTATTTAATATTTATATTTTATTTTATTTCAGCTTTATTTCAATGACAAAAAATGACGTGCAACACCTCCATGATGGTGTATGTCTGAACCAGAGGTAGTTCTTCAAAGACACTGACAGCTTTGAGTCTTCCCTGTTGTAGGGAAGAAGTGGCAGATTAGTACAGGCAGTGATGGGTGGTTTTAACAGAGGAAATGGCCCTCGAGCATCAGTGTGAGAGTAATGGTTTGTTGGCAGGATTTTTGAGCCGATTCACTTATTACTCCATAAATTAAATCCAGATCTCAAAGAGGCATCATTACCAGGGGACCCTCTGACATCATATTGCACCCAGTCAGTGCTGGAGTCTATGACATCAGTCACGAGCTCTCATAAAAAAACATCAGTCAGAGCTTGATCGATTCAAGGAGGGCAAGAGAGCAGGAAGGGAAGACCAGCACCAGGAAAGATGAAAGAAGACCATGAAAAAAGCACCCAATATCTAGGGTATTCAGAGCCAAGTTGACAATATTTAAAGCATCTTAAAGCAAAACTCAACAATACCTAGATATCAAATCTGTACAGCACTTTTCTTAATATCTCATAAAGACATTCAGAAAACCAGGAAGTGGTACTTAAGTGACAAACAACTGACTGCTCAGTCTAATGGTTTTAGTGTTATTTTCAGCTGTGGTGGCTCAGTGTTGTTGATCTGTTGTTCTCTGGGCCTAGTCTTCAGTGTGCTGTCAGTACAGTCCCAGCACAGGAAGCTGGCATCCACTGACCAACAACAGACATCCTGAGTGGAAGTACGACCCTCGAAAACAACAGCGGTACAGAGACGAGTGGGGGTATCCTTGTGCAACAGCTAACATAGCCTCCAGTGTCTGGAGAACAATTATGGCACATATATACCGGCTCACTTACTCTCTAAGAAACTGGCTGGCGTGTTTTGAATGACCAAATATCAGCGATACCTGTTTATAACTACTCGGTACTCAAGGGGCGATAAAGGTACCTTCAGATGTCTGTCACTTAACTGAATGTGTAACGCAGCTACACTCTCAGAAAAAAGGTACAAAAGCCGTCACTGAGGCTGTACCTTTTCAAAAGGGAAAACTTTTGTCCATTTTAGGTGCTAATATGTACATTTTAGGGGCTAATATGTACATTAAGGTGCTAATATGTACATTTTAGGTGCTAATATAGACATTTAGGTGCTAATATATGTACATTTTAGGTGCTAATATGTACATTTTAGGTGCTAATATGTAAATTTTTGGGGCTAATATGTACATTAAGGTGCTAATATGTACATTTTAGGTGCTAAATATAGACATTTAGGTGGTAATATGTACATTTTATGTGCTAATATGTACATTTTAGGTGCTAATATGGACATTTAGGTGCTATTATGTACATTTTAGGTGCTATTATGTACATTTTAGGTGCTAATATGGACCTGTAGGTGCTAATATGGACATTTAGGTGCTATTATGTACATTTTAGGTGCTAATATGTACATTTTACGTGCTAATATGGACATTTAGGTGCTATTATGTACATTTTAGGTGCTATTATGTACATTTTAGGTGCTATTATGTACAATTAAGGTGCTAATATGTATCATTAAGGTACCAATATGCACCCTTTAGGTACTTTTGAAAAGGTACAGCCCCGGTGACAGCTTTTGTACCTTTTTTTCTGAGAGTGTAGCTGTAAACATGTTGACAGTTTAACTAAACTTGCCAAGCAAGATTCCCTTCAGACTGTTGCTCTGCACAGACAGAATTTGGTTTTAAAGCATAAACTGACAGTAAAAGAGTTTAAGCTAAATCCAGCTCTTTCTAATGATCAGAATGCAACACATACTTGCCATCAGACACATTTCTGAAACCCAAAAAAAGTCTAACTGAAAGAGAAGCTGTTAATTGTCCCGCTCTGCCAATTGGTCTGATCAATATTCGTCTTAGTTAAAGGAATAACATAGTTTAAACGGTTAGTTCACCCAAAAATGAAAATTATGTCATTAATTACTCACCCTCATGCTGTACCAACCCCGTAAGACCTTCGTTCGTCTTCGGAACACAAATGAAGATATTTTTGATTCAATTTGAGAGGTGGATCACTGCTACATAGGCTGACTAAGGGATTGAAACTTGACGGCCCAAAAAGTCATTTAAGAAAATGTTTAAATATTCCATGTGACTACAGTGGCTCAACTATAAGTTTATCAAGCGACGCGAATACTTTTTGTGTGGAAAAACAAACAAAAATAACAGCTTTATTCAACTACTTCATTTTGTCCTTGTAGGCCTGAGACAAGAGTTCAAGAGATTTCCACGATTACCACGTTTTTTCGCACAAAAAGTACTTGCGTCGCTTGTACTTTAAACTTATAATTGAGCCACTGTAGTCACATGGAATATTTAAACATTGACTTTCTGGGTCGTCAAGTTTCGATCCCTTAGTCAGCCTATGTAGCAGTGATCCACCTCTCAAATTTAATCAAAAATATCTTCATTTGTGTTCCGAAGACGAACGAAGGTCTTACGGGGTTGGTACAGCATGGGGGTGAGTAATTATTGACTTAATTTTCATTTTTGGGTGAACTGACCCTTTAATATAAAAAAACGGTGGAGTATCCCTTTAAATATACTTAAGACACAAGTGACCTTTTATTTTATTAATACTATATTATTTACATGTACAGTTTTTTTATATATACTTTAAGATTTGAAGTACACTACAAGTGCACATTCAGTACAGTTGAGTACACTTCTTTTTCACAAGAGAAATTCAGAAGCATGATACGATACCAGGAAGAGGTGTCTGGGCTGCCTGCTTTTACGAGAGACCTTCATCAGGGTGCCCTCCTTGACAAAAACCTGCAAAACACACAGGTGCCAGAGGCCAGGTGAGTTATGGGTAAATGTGTTATTCACTTGAACCTTTGATGTCTAATAACTGTTACTGATCTTTCAGGTTTTACAGCCAGTAAAAACGGTAGTAAACTATAAACATGAAACCATAAATACAGCGTATGGAGCAGAATTTACCCTTCCAGGTTGGAGAAGGTCTCTTTTTCCTCTCACGCTGTAGTCAATATGAACCAAACGAAGCAGGTTCTCCTGCGATTTTGAGGGAGAAAGACATAAAAGAGTGAGAAACAGAAATAGAAAAATATTGTTTCTCATATGTGGATGAGAATAAGAAAGCTGTTATAAGAAGGATTCTGTGTCTGTCTGAGAAAATGTGTGTGTGCGTGTGTGTGTTTGGGGATGCCTCTGTCCCGCTGATTTCACACTGCTCTCTTTGTTTTTGGACACCTGGACTACTTTGATGACATCATATCCCCTTTCTCCATTTTCGTTATGTATTAAGAATACACTCTCTCAGAAACAGAGACAACTCACCCCATGTTTTAGATTGTCATTAACCTGGTCTGCGACTTCAGACACGATTACCAGTGCAGCTGTTAATAAAAAGTTGCAGTTACAAGCATGGTTATGTTTTCACGGATCAAATATGGTCAGTGTTCATCACTGTGTGACAGAGAAGACAGACAACAATACCTTGTGTGTCTTCATACTCTTTCGAATCAGGGGAGAGATTGTTTAAGTAGTCTGAAAAGAATGAGATAGGAACCACATGAAGGATAAAAAAGAAAATTATTTTTACAGGATTTTACACACACTTCTGTTTTGTACAAGATCCCACATACACAACCTCAAGGTTGAAATGATAACAGCCTGCCTTATACTCACGCAAAACAATCTAGACACACACAACAAAGTTGTTTTTCTTTTTAACACATTTATTCAATGTAACATTAAAGCTCATTGAATTTATATTATGAGCACATTTAATCATCAAAGCTCATAAAGTGACTCAAGAGTAAAATTCTGGTCTGCAAGGACTGCAAGTCAGCAGCAAAACATCAATTCTACACATAAGATTAGGTCCATGAACTGTTGAAAAAGTAGTTTTATTATTTAATTACTGTATTTCCTGTGTTTTGATGCACTTTGATAAATATGGACAAAAATGCACCTCTGTCCAGTGTCTTTATGTACAGTAGATATGCATATAGTTTGGGTCTTCCACATACAGTATACAGAACTCATCTGTGTTATTTTAGCATAATTTCTATACTATTATAGTTAATGCTTTAAATAAGCTTTTATTTTATATTTATATTTTGAACTAAGGGATAGTTCACTAAAAAAAAATACAATTTTGTCATCATTTACTCATCCTCATGTTGTTCCAAACCTGTATGAATTTCAAAAGAAGATATTTTGAAGAATGTCGGTAACCAAACAGTTGAGGGACCCCATTGCTTAATTTTTTTTTCTTCCATACTTTGGAAGTCAATGGCAATGTCAATGACAACTGTTTGGTTACAGGCATTCTTTAAAATATCTTCTTTTGTGTTCAGCAGAGGAAATTCATACACCAAAAATGATTTTGTAAATGCAATTCGAACCAGGACTAAATGTATCAAGTTCTTTTTAGGTCTGAAGCAAAAATACAGAGAACTGAAGAAGTGTGAACACCTTTTTTGTTTCATTTTTTATTTTTTTGTAATATTTACGGAGCCCCACAAATGCACGCGGGGGACAATATGTACAGTATATTGTGGCCACATTGTAATAATTTATTCCTTTGTTTTGGTTAAATCAAAATGAGGGTACAAATTAGTTTAACGTGGTCACAATTTACTAAAATGAGAGAACAAATTCCTAATGAGTGGCCATGGTACAGATATATTCTGATGTTTAAAATTGAAAATCATCACCATTGTAAGGTGTGTCTTTAGGTGTATATTCCTTTTGTTAAACATGACTTTCAATGTATCAAACTGTAGATCCTTCCTACACACAACTAACATAAATATATATATATATATATATATCCGTATGTTATGTGCAGGGCTCCGTAAATACTTCATCTAATATTTATATTTTATTTAAGCTTAGTTTTAATAAATAAAATAAAAAAGTCCCTGAAAAGAGACTGAATGTGTTAACGTATTAACTGCACAAAAAATATCATCAGGACTAAATATTTGAATCACAGGTGTTCACCTGTGAGCAGCATGCGGTACTGGAGCACGCGCACAATGACCCGCATCAGCTGGTGTTTCAGAGGAACATGAACACCTTCTGCATTCTCCGTCTGGAAGACACAAAAACACATGCAAATGAGAAATGGCACATGAAACACAATATACAATGTGCGTAAACATGTTATAACTGAAGGCACACAAAAGGAGGACATGAATATAAACAAAACATTATGATTAGCACTAATACTGCGTTCATGTAACACAGGAATTACAAAATAATTATTTTTATAGTACACTCTTTAAACTGTTCAAGTTACCTTTTAGTTGTTATGATATATTTTAGCTGCCATTTTAATTGTTTTTACATGTTTTATAAAGTAAGAGAAATCATGAGTTTAATGAAGATGTTAACCATTTTTACTAGCCAGAAACTCATAATTACGGTAATTTCATATGCTTTGTTAAATAAACAGAGCCAAAAAGATGTTCCAACCCAAAACCACAATCACAAACTCAAACACCCACAATCATACACAAACGAGAGGTACACCTTTGCTCTCTCTCCACCCACAAGATACAGTATTATAGATCACAATGGCCCCACTTAGAAAAGCCCATTTCAAGGTTACTCATTGACCTTCCCTTTCCCCTTACACAAAAACCTGAGTACACCTCATTCCATCCAATTCCAACCCAATTATATCAATCACTGGGAGAAAAAGTGCACAAGTGAATCAGTCAAACAAGCGGTGAGAAGAAATCAATCAAGGCCTAATTGACTTTGACACATCATTGTTCATGTGAGCTCTGAGGAGCCTTAGGGGACATGAGAGGTCAATAGAGGGCAGATGAGGGCAAATAACTTTAGACTTCTGGACAGACATGGGACAATGCTTGAGATCTACAACGAGAAAAAGGGGAACAGAAATGCCGTAAATGACCTTGTGTGAGGAGTGTGAACAGAGGGAGTATTGGCTTCAAGATAAAGGAACAGACAGCGACTGTCCAGTTTGCACACCTGCCACAACATCATTCCCACAACACCCCTGATAGACACCATTATCTCTTTCACACCAGCTTTCTCATTCTCCCTGTCTTTCTACCTGTATTGTAACCTTCATCATCATCATAATTCACCTGTTCTATCATTAATTTCCTTAGAGTATTTCTCTTCACACTACAGTTTTTCTATTACATGTAACAGAGATCTGTTATTTGGATGATAATGTGAACATCAAAAGTTACACAGAATGTGACTGTTAAATTCGAATGATGTACATCTAAAATACTAGATATAATGACTACACCAATCTAACTTGAAATTATGGCAGAATTTTAATTCAGTTTAATATTTCAAAAAATATTGTTTCGAAATGAATAGACTATTCGGATATTAAATAAAACATATTTTATAAAATATTTAATGTATTGTAACCATTGTAAAGTGATTTGTTTAAAAAAACATACTGTTGAAAGTTGCATTGGTGTATTAAATATGCATTAATAATACAAATTAAAAAGTTAATGATAATGCACAAACTTCTAATTTCATATAACATAGGCTAAGGGTAAACAGAGCACAACATTTTAATTCAATATAAGATATTAAATAAAAAAAAATAGAAAAATATTTTAAGTCAAATCACATTTATTTTTATTACACTTCATATAGTACAACAACGGTGACAACATATTGTTATTATAATAAAATGAAACAGTATTTAAAATTAAATGGGGTGAATAAAATCTAAATCATGGCAAATTCTATTTAATATAATATTTTAAAAAACTATTACACTGAGTAAATGATAAAATAAAATATAAATAAAATATTTAATATTGAAGTATTCAGTTATTAAATCAAATGTATTCTTTTATAAAATAATTATATTCAAAATATTCAGTAAATTGCACTATTATGAAGTATATTATACAGATTTTTCTTAAATGCTGATGCACTAAACCTATATTAGCAGATATATTGATATATATAATATAGCTAGTTAAAAATGTAATGCTAATGTACAGACTTATAATATGATAACATGCCGTCATATTAAAAGATTATGAAACGTGTTGATGATGTTATGTTGAGGAGTGATGTATTTGGAACCACATTTGGATTTAAGCAGAAAGTCTACATTAGGCACTTTAAGGTTTTTGTGCGAAGCTATCCTCTCACTCTTCAACTCTAAATATCATTGCACCTGTCTTCAATTATCTAATTACTTCCTCTATGTACTGTATAGTTTTTTCACTCCAGTGAGCCTCATCCTGGCCATAAGCCTGTCAGATTCCTGTGTTTAAGCAACATGGCTCCATTGTTGAAGGCAGTAGACCAAATGAACAGCCTCACACTGAATACTTGCACCAAACTGCAATCCAATTGACATTTGTGCTGAAGAAGTGGCCAGTCTTTGTGCATGTGTGCAAGGGTAGATATTTAGCGTTCGCTCTCCAGCCGAGTTGGGAAACAGCCAAGAGAGGGAACAGTGGCTTGTGCCAGAGAACAGACAGCCTACACAAATCAGGCACTGGTCCAGCTGAAGCTGCGCCTGTGTGGACAGCTGATTTAATTGAGGGTTGTTTAAGAAGACTGCTTGGCTAATTAGCTTTTTTCCACCTCATTGCCCAAATTGCCAGATGAGTGTGCAATGTGTGTCAGTGTCTTGTTCTGTCTTTATCTTGTCCTTTCCACCAGTACAATTTAAGAGCAAAACTGTGTAATAATGATACATGCACACAGAAATACCATGCTTGCAAATACGTTATCATATGGAGTTTGAGTCAAGTGGATTTTTAATGGATCTTCCAAAAATACTATATAAATACCAGACCAGCCAAAAGTTTGAAACGATTAATGTTGTTGAAAGAAGTCTCTTATGCTCACCTTATGCTAAAATATAGTCAAAACTGTAATATTGTGAAATAATATGACCAGTTAAAAGAACTGATTTCTAGTTTATTTTAAAATGTAATATGTTCCTGTGATGCCAGGAATAGCTGGGAAGCTTTACACATTAAATTGATCAAAAGTGACAGTAAGATATTTATAATGTTACAAAAGATTTCTATTTCAATAAATGCTCAATAAATTTGAAATTCTTTTGAATCTTCTATTAATCAAAGTATAATGAACAAAATGTATCATGGTTTCGACAAAAATATTAAGTTCTGTGGGAGGCGCGCCGTACTTCACCCGGGGATGTGCACAGATAGCCATATTAATCATAAAATCATATTACTTGATTATCATTGTTATTTTTTGGAGGTTTGGGAGAAGAGGGGAGTGGGGTGAGGAGAGAAAGGGTAAAAGACGTTAAATTACTGAATACCTTAAAACACCCCCAAAGGAAATCTATTTCAAAATAAAAGGCCTTTCTTTACTTTTCTTTCTTTACCTTTTTTTTTAATTTATTTTTTCCTTCTCTTCTATTCTTATATTGTTGTTTATCAGTGTTGTTTTTTTTTTTCGGTCGATATGTGTATTTTGTAAAATTTCTGTGTGCATTTCTGCCAAAAAATAAAAATAAAAATAAATAAATAAATAAATATATATATATATATATATATATATATACATATCAAGTGGCAAAAAACTGTTTTAAACATTATTCCATTATTAATAATTGAGTATTGATAATAATTGAGAATAAGATTATGTGACACTGAGGACTGTAATAAAGGCTGCTGAAAATGTACCTTTACTATCGCAATAATAAACTTAAAATATATTGAAATAGAAACTTTTCTTTTAAATTGTAATAATACAATATCAATATCATGTTTTTGCAGCAATTTTTATCAAGAAAAGGCAGTCTTGATGAGCATATGAGACTTCATAAAAATAAAATCCTTAAAAATCGTAATTATTCCAAACTTTTGACTCAGTATAGTATAGTATAGTATAGTATAGTATAGTATAGTATAGTATAGAAGATGACAATGGATGGATGGATGGATGATGGATAGATAAATACATAGATCTGAATCTATCTGAGTTTACACTCCCACGATTAAGTCACACATTCTGCAGATCATTTATTTTAAACTGAAGGGCTAAAAGGACATGGTATGAAAATGCTGTAAAATGTTGAATATAAACATGAAGCTTGCAAAACAATCTCCTCTCGCTCTCTCGCTTTCTTTCAAAGCACCCTGCCTTCGTCTCCTTCCTTCTTACACATTCTGCACGCACCCCCCAGATACTTATAAACACACACACACACGTTTGTGGTGAAAACCCCTCGTAAACAGTGTAGCTGAACAGGATTTAATCCTATCAGGCCACAGTGGTGATCAGATCAGCTACTGTTGATACTTCATCTCTGTCATCAACCCAGCACGCACACACACGCACAAAATAAGATTACACAAGCTCGCATCCAGAGAAGAGAATTCCTAATACAACCTCTATCCTCAATGCATCCAATATCCTTTATCAAAAAGCTCAAATGCTGCTAATACAAAATTCCAATGCCAAGTGAAACCAATGTGGTATATTCTACAGTACAAGATAAATATAATAGATACATTTATATACCTGGCTGAATCTCACAAAAGCATGTCCAGGTCACACGGCAAGAAAAGAAAAGGATTTTTTTCTTTTTTAAACTATTATAAAGGGGTCATGACATGGATATATATATATTTTTTTAATATATTCCTTGAGGTTCACTTATAATGTTAAATATTACTGTATATAAATATATATATGCAGAAAAACTATTACTTTCCATCTTTATTCTGACCCTCTGTCTGAAATGATCCGTTTTTAAGGGGCGGCTCCTTTCAGGCTTGTCAGTAAAAGGCCACGGTTATGATCGACTAATGTTATTGCATAGGAAACAGTATCAACAAGTGCTTTGAAAACATTATCCATATAAAACTGTAATTTACAGACAAAACATGGTTTGTGATGCAGCTGCTGTAAGATCAGTTGTTCTTTGCAAACTCTTCTTTGTGCCTCGTTTACAAAACAAAACTATCCGAAGCAAACATATAAAACTCTGACGTGATCCAGAAATCCATTTATAAAAACTGTACTGTATTACAATTGTGGTGTCGATCGTGGTAATAAGAACCTGCTAGAGATGCTTTACTAAAATAAAATAAAAAAATTTATGTATTTTCTTCTTCAGTATTGGTGGTAATAGATTGTGTTTCAGATTCACTGTCTGATTTTTGAGCACTTGTATGCATATTTTCTTTAATTTATTTATTTGATATTTCATTCAATTTAATTACAAAATATTTGTCATTATATATATATATATATATATATATAGTTTTATATACAAACAAATGTATTAACAATATAAATATAAACATAAATGTGTTATTATCCCTTGATTATGTTTTTGTTAAATAATGCTTTCTTACTTTTTGATGGAAATAGTTGAGAATCACAAAATCTAGTAGCATCGACTGCTGTAGTTTTGGTTGTATTAAGAACACAATCAGTTCAGTGTACCAGCGATGTTCATGACAGAGTGAATCGTTTAATTGGTGGAGTCACTGACCACACATTTCAATGGTGATAGGGATCACCAACGACAGGAAGCCAGCTGACTTTGCTCATTAATATGCATGAGCATCTGTATTCAGAGAAGCCTTCTTGGGTGGTAGATTCAAAATTGGACCCAATGTTTAGCAGGGAGAGATTGGGAAAAGGAGAAAGAAAGGTGGATTTAGCCGAATGTCCTTTAAATGTGTGCATTTTTTTCTTATACTCAATAACTGAGTTTGCTCAAACGTTTGTGAAATGAGTTGAGGGAGGTCTGTTTTTATATTTTTTAGATCAAGGGTTGCATCTTTAATAATGTGTGACAGCCTGCCGTGGGTCTGTTTTCTCATGTGGCTTCGCAATCAATAGCTGAGGCTTATGATCCAAATAACCCCAGAGTAATGAAATGAGATTTAGATTTTTTCTTATAACAGCACATATTATTTTCTTTTCAACACAATGCAATTCATTTCTGGGTGTAAAATGTGCTCACTCAGTCCTCTGTGAGTCCTGGTCAGCTGCAGTAACGCTTATAGGCTTTGACTGGGTGATGTATGTACTGAGCATCACTGGCTGCCTCTGGTCACTCCGCACTAATGAAACCAATAGAGCTGACTCTCAGTGTTGAACCACTGCACAAACACACAAGTGAACAACAAGATAGGCTTTTTCTTACATTTCTCTTAACCTGCCAACCATTATTCTAGCCACTGCTGACTTGTTTTATTCACCATTCTGTGCCCTGATGCTTCTCTCGGCTCATTTAATGGGAGAAGATGCAGTTGTTTTATTGATTAGGACCTGAAGATGTACATGTCAGGAGTTTAAACGCCTGCTTGACTTTATCAGTAGACAGCGCATTCTCACCCCAAGGCGTCACCTTTGACCATGCTTCAATATTTTACGTTTTAGGCGCCCTTTAGCGTCACTTACATGACGCGATCCTACGGCGTCATCTAACTGACGCTAAAGGAAAGCGTCAGTTAGAGGACACGGTTAGGTTTAGGTGTGGGGTGGGGGTAGGGTACACGCGATCCTAGAGCGTCATAACTGACGCTAAAGGGCGCCTAAAGCGTCAGATATTGAAGCATGTCCAAATGCTTCCCAAGGCGTCAGTTAAGTGACGCCTTGGGGGTGAGAATGGGCTGCAGTAGACTATATACCACCATTGTCAGCATTGCATATCAGCTCTTTAGAATATTTTGTTAAGAATATGTCTGCATCATATTTCACCAAAAAGAAAGAATTAGCAATTAAATTAAAGTCCAATTTAAGGCCTGTTCACATGAGGTGTTTTACCATTAAAACTACCTGCAAGTTTTATAGCTTAAAACGTCTTCCTTTATAAATGACATGACTGACATTTGCCTACACTAGATATGAGAAAGCAAGTACCCATTATAATCGCTGATGCTGTCTACACTGGATGGAGACAGATGCTCATTCAGTGTCTAAATTTTGTGTTAGGGGAGTCTGTCGACAACAGGACAAATCTAAGAGTGAAAGAACATTCGCTTTGACACATCCAGTCTAAACAGCTCGTTTGCGGCTCGTACAGATTTCAGAAGAATCTCAGTGTCGAAAACAAGAGGATGAGTTATTGTAATGAATAGTAATGGATAGTTTGCAAAGAACATTGTATAGAAAGAGGAAGCAGCCAACTGATCTTACAGCAGCTGCATCACAAACCATACTTTGTCTGTAAATTACAGTTTTATATGGATAATGTTTTTAAAGCATTTGTTGATACCAACGCATTCTCACCCCAAGGCGTCACCTTTGACCATGCTTCAATATTTGACGTTTTAGGCGCCCTTTAGCGTCACTTACATGACGCGATCCTACGGCGTCACCTAACTGACGCTAAAGGAAAGCGTCAGTTAGAGGACGCGGTTATGTTTAGGTCTGGGGTGGGGGTAGGGTACACGCGATCCTAGGGCGTCATCTTACTGACGCTAAAGGGCGCCTAAAGCGTCAGATATTGAAGCATATCCAAATGCTTCCCAAGGCGTCAGTTAAGTGACGCCTTGGGGGTGAGAATGGGCTGCAGTAGACTATATACCACCATTGTCAGCATTGCATATCAGCTCTTTAGAATATTTTGTTAAGAATATGTCTGCATCATATTTCACCAAAAAGAAAGAATTAGCAATTAAATTAAAGTCCAAAGGGTGAGAATGGGCTGTTGATACTGTTTCCTATGCAACAACATTAGTCGATCATAACCGTGGCCTTTTACTGACAAGCCTTAAAGCAGCCGTCCCTTCAAAACTGATAATTTCAGACAGAGGGTCAGAATAAAGATGGAAAATAATAGTTTTTTTGCAAATATATATTATTTATTTATTTTTTTGTGCAATAAAATAAAAATATTTTATTTTTTTTAATAAATAAATTTGGCATAACATCATCCCACCCAGTCTTTTCAACTGAAAGATGAACTGAAATGAACTGTGACAAAGGAACCATCATATTGAGATTAATTCTCAAACAAACAATGAAAATTCCCAAAATGTTCATCTCAGAACTCACCTCAAACTGTTTTACCACATCCTCAAAAGCTTTACTTTGTCTACAGCTCTCCTCCAGCAGTGACATGCTGCGGTCATAGTCTGAGATGTATGTTGCAAAGGATGAAAACTCAGCTTGGCGCGTTAATATGACATCAACAACTGATGGGCTGTCCTCCCTGAAGATGAATGAGAAACAACAAGAACTTTTTAGAGGGCATCCAAGGACATGATGGCATTATAATGGATTGTGCGACTGCAACATCACATGTACTGGGATTAAAGAAATAAGAGATCTATATCAGCTTTTCTAGTGGCGTGCAGTGGTGTACAGTTTTTTTTAACAGATCAAATGTAAATTTAGGACTAGTTACACTTCATGTATAACATTTTCCTGGTTAAAAAACACTACTTTATATAACATAAAAAGCAAATACAATTCTATTTAGTATTTTTACATTAACAATGTAATTAATGTTCCATGAATAAATCTTATTTTAAAATTATGCATTTTTATATTTATTCCAAAGTGACAATTTAAACACATTTTGAGGCAGTGCCTCCTCTGAGGAAACGCCGCTGAGCTCGTCTTTATTAGCATGTGGCTCAGGTGGGAGATGCATACAGTAGATGTGGAGTGCATGCATTAGCACCTTGTAAAAGATGCACGTGTTATATATAACATAAGTATGGACTTTTTATGGAATGCCATACTATAAAATATGTGCATCAGCATGTGTACATGTTGATGTGCATTAGTATAGTGTGCATCAGTGTCAAGTGCTTGAGTGTTCTCACCACTGTTTAATGCGGGTCTCCAGCTCATTGAGGATCTCATTGTGCAGATGGTAGGCCTGAGGAAGGGTGCTCATGATCTCGTCCAGCTTCACATTTTCAAACAAAGGCTCCTCATCATCTCCTACTGCTGACTCCACTGCTCCCCTGAAGTCCTGTAAAAAAAAAAGTCAGTTGGAGTGAGAATCAAATATCAAATATTTCAAAACAATTATTAAAAAATGTTTTAATAAATATTAAATGTTTTGGCTGCCAATGAAAGTGTACTAGTCACATAATTGGTCAAGTAAATGCATTCCACATGGATTTTGTATTCCAATTTCCCAGAAAAATATCACTGTCTGAATGGATAACATTGGGAAAAAAAAAAAGTTGAAACAAAATGCAGAGAACTTCTGTCTGGATTAGCCTCAGACACGACACAAGAATGATGACAGATATTGAAGACGAAAAACTTCATTGTAAAAAAAATATTGATGGTTTAACTTAAAGTAAGTAACCTGGGTTGCCTTAAAATTTTAAGTTGATTGAACTGGAAAAAGTGAGTTAATACAATGAAGGAGAATGATTTAACCATCAGAAACTCAAAATTATATGTTATCTGAACTAAATAAATTATTTGATTTGACAAAAGAAAAAGTGTTGTGATTACCACACTGTAAAAAAAATATTGTTGGTTTAACTTAAAAAAGTAAGTAACCTGGTTGCCATAATATTTTAAGTTGATTGAACTGGAAAAAGTGAGTTAATACAATGAAGGAAATTAATTTAATCATCAGAAACTCAAAATAATAAGTTATCTCAACTAAATAAATTATTATAAAGTTGATTTGACAAAAGAAAATATGTTGTGACAAATCTTGAAAATATTTTTTACAGTGTTGATTCTATCAAACCCTGGTGTGTTTGCGTACATCTTACATCATCGCAAACGTGCATGGCGCATGATAGAAAAAAATGCGGGTCAACATATTGTGTTTTCTATTAATTCAGAGCTATTAAGTGCAGCTGAGTGAACAACACAGGTTTATTGTGTGTGTGTGTGTCGCATAAGGTGGCTTTCTGCTGCTTGCAAATGGACTCTTTTGAGGAGACCAAAAAGATTGCCCTGATTCCACGCGCTATGCGCGAATACACTGCAGGCTCACTTTCGCTCGTATCCAAGGTAAATCATTAGCAGTATCATCCCTTACATGTGCTTATTTAACTAAATAACATCATAATCAGCTAAAATGCAAGCACAGGTTACTTTACTTCCCGAACAAGTGCGCACCCGAGTTCTTGCTGCTTTCACATTCACGCGAACCGGGCCACGGTTTGGTAGTAACCAAACTCAGACCACCTCCTCCAGGTAGTCTTGGGTTCGGTACCAGCAACGGTGACAGCGTTCACATTAGTGATTTTTCATGCGAACCGTGCCCCCTTCCGAACTAAACTACCAGTGTGAAAGCCCCCTTAGACACTTAGAGCAAGGTAATAGTGTTGCAGAAGATCACAAAAGCTTAAGGTAGTATTTCCAGGTAAGTTTCCAGGACAACAATTGATGGTGTGCGTATGTGTGCTTTAGTACTGGTCATGAGGGCTGATGAGTGTCAGTTGCGCGTGGTTAGTACTTTGTTGACTGTGAAGGCTGAGTGAATGAGGTAGAGCCTGGCGTGCTCGTGACAACTATACCAACTCCCATAGGCTTCTGTGCAAATACATCAAATAATCTGTACTTGTCCCTTCCTGCCTCTGAATTGAACTCTGACCACATTCATCCCTCACGATGAGCATCTAAGGCTTAAGCTACTAGATTGAGCTCCACACAGCCTGCGCACGAGCCACCAGCTTTGACACAATCTTTGCCCACATACCACCCGTCAGGGGAACATGTTATTAGTTTCTGCTGAATATATTTGTTTTGGCCATAACAGACAGTTAAATAAGCTGGTCTGTTCGGGTCCACTAGCCTAATGACTCACGATCCATAGAGGATTTATTTACTTGTCCCATTATACATACACATGTCATGTACCTTATGAATCACCAGGAAGGGATCAAATCTGCTCTGAAATGTCTTCACAGGCAAAGCCGTGAGGGAATGTGAGACCGTTATGAGGAAAGTGATGACATAAAACAAAATCCATCATGAATGCGCACACAGACGTGTAAGCGGTCATGCTGGGAGGTGATACAGTAAAATTCCTTTCTGAGCTTCACAATTGAATGAATGTGTATCGATCACAGCTGCGTCGGCATTTGTCAATGCTCTCATAAATAACTCAGTGCTGTTATACAGTATACTCCTAGGTGCTATGAAACTGGTTTCCTCTGATAGCATCTAAATAGCTGAAACTCCCAGACAACTTTCCAAATGTTCATTGCAATGAAATTGCTCTGTTTTACAGTTGCCTTCTTAAGACTCATTACACTTTTATTGCTTTCTCACAGTTCAGCTAGTGTTTGATGCATAATGACACAGAAATGAATTGGCTGGTGGGAGATACTTGTCTTAATTGTAATTTGTTATGCTTCTGCATGCTTTTCATTTTAGAATAAAATAAGCAAGCTGCAATTTTGCTGAATCTCATGCCTATTCACATGCCTAGAAACCTGAACTTAAGAGCATAACTTCCCATTAGGGACAGGTTTTAGAATTTATCTATATTTTGGTGTTATCCAATATCAAACAATGGAGCCACATGTTCTGTCCTGTAGCATACCTTTCAGAGTATACAAAACAAAGTGAGTGATAGAAAAGAATATATATATATATATATATATATATATATAAACCAAAAGGGAGGATAAGCAACTCAAATTATATAGAATATTAATGAAAAAAATGTAAATGCATTTTTAAATGATTTTACAATTATTTTAAAATTAAGTCAAATGAACCCTACACTACAGTTCAAAAGTTTATGGTTAATAATATATGAGATTAATATAGTAATTATATAATATAGTAATTATTCGAAATGAATGAATACTTTTTTTCAGCAAGGAAAATGTATATTAAGTATATACGTTGTGTTCATGAGAAGAATTGTACATTGTAGAATACTATAACACGTGTTGTGTAATGACGTAATGTGGATGAAGTGTGCTACTCCTATCTCGTGGGTTATAACTCTTCCTGACAGATACCACAGCTATTTCTCTCAGGAGAAAAATTTAAGAAGGAGGAGACTCAAGGAAAAGTCTCCAGTTGATCTTACTTCTTTTAAATAAACAAATTACACATTATAGAGATCTCATATGTCAGCTTTCGTTTACGGATGCATTTTCTTTATTTGTGCTATTTTGCTTTGTTTCCTCAGCCTCTTTATCTATAGGACCAAAAAGTACTTTCCCGCAACATTAAGAGATGTTAATGTGCACCTGGAGCCCAAGCGAGGGGAAGAAAAAAAAAGTTTTACATTTTCGATAACGGAGCGTATTTGCACTAAGTGCCTGTCTTTTTAAGAAAAAGACGCCGTCACGAAATAGTTACAGAGGCGTAGGTCGCAGCGCGTGAAGTGCTTGAATCTGAACCCGAGTCTGAATTGCGCCTTTTGCCGAACACTCTTCTCCCTTTTCCCAACACATATGAGATGTAAAATGTATAACCTAACATAAAGGTCTCTTGTGTTATATTTTGCCAACAAACTAAAATCAAAACTTTATAAAACAGCACAAGATTTTAAGAATAGACATCCTGTTTGTGCTCGGTGATTTAAAGAAAACACTTTGCTCATGCGATCAGCATGGTCATCTGGTGTTTTCTCCTAAATAAAAGCTCAAGGGTTTATATAGGACATAATATTTCCTATATTACAGTGTAATGTAGTCTAAAATATATTTTTGAAATATTTATTTTCATTTATATAGTACATTTATAAGCTATATGGATTTTACACCATAGGAATAATTATATAAATCATTATTACATTATAAAATAATTGTTTGGCATCCTAAAACACCATTGATAATGTTATGTAGACTGAGACACTCATACAGTAACTAAAAAGATGTTTGAGCCCTCTTTTGGGGGGGTTTGCCCTCAATAATTGTCCTGGTGCAAATCAATGCTTTTCTTTGTTCAACGAGCAGTTCATGGGTTGAAGCTCTTAATTTTGATCTCTCAAAGAGCACAAGATTGATGCATTTAACCTTAAAATGTACAAAATTTTCTTGCGGGGGAGCATGCCCCCCAACCCCCTTAGAGGCACAGAGGTCCACCCAACAAATTCCTATGGGAAAGAACGACCATTTATCAACTTTACTCCATGCATAGTTCAACAAAGTTCCTTTTAAGTCAGTAAAACTGTAAATGCCATATTAAAATGTCATTGGACAAAATATACATTTGGCCTGCTATAAGAGGGGGCCTACAAGACATACATAGTGCCCAGGGGCCTCTGAACTCTTAATCCGGCCCTGATGATGAGCCTAAACTGCACAAATCCCCATGCAACAGTGGGGAAGGTGACACCCTCAAAGTCGCCGTTGAGAGCAGCCAAACACTGATTTAATGATGTCACATAGTGGATAGAAAATCAAGGTGACTCAGATCCTCAAACTCATTAACATTCAGAACAGAGAGAGTGATTAATGACATCTTTATCTTTCCCACGTACCCCACTAATTGTTAAATGCAGTATAAATATTTATAGCGCATCAATATCAAACTAAACGTTCTCCCAAGTGAAAGCTAGACATACATAAATACTACAGCACTTGCTCTGATGGGCCTATTCATTCGGCTCCATTCAAAATCCATCCCGCTTATGCTGCTCAATGCAAATCTACAGCATTATGTAAGAATAGGGGAACTATAATTAAAGTTCTACTGTAATACAATACACCATATGCATACAAGACACACATGCACGTATATGATTAGCATTCTTTAGTCGTTAATAGGACAGAGATTCTATTGACTATGGCTTATTTTATTCAAATGAGGCAATTAAATGGTGAATATGAAGTATAGTAATTTACATGAGGTGCGTGGTATGAAGAACTTTAGTTCCTGCTGGATTGTGATAAATTGCTCCTTCAGCCCCGCCTCGACTTGATAATTAGGATACATATTGTTTTAATCATGAAAACATAAGCGCTAAATCTGGTTATGAGGTAACAGTCTAGAGGAAAATGTTTAAAACAATAGGTTGTTTTTTTTCACGCTAATTCCATCACTCTCACTGACTCTGCAAGCCATGCACAAATCTGCAAGCCCTAGAGAACCAGGTTAGAAAGACACTTTGGCTGTCAGAAAGGGAGAGCTAATGAAAACAAATGATAACATGAATTGGAAACAGTACATCACAGAGAAATATTAAGTACAGTGTAAAGAGCCCATGCACACAAGCAAACAGTAAAACTAGACGTCACTGAAGTCTTTTACACTGAGATATAGGAAGCAACTACAGCCAATGTCTTAATTAAAACCGTATAAAAGAAAAACTTTGTCTTTTTTTATCCATACAATACAAGTCAAAAGGTTCCAATGTTGTTTTGGACTCGCAAATAGTTCAAACATTCATCAAAATATATTTTTTATCTGGGTTCAGCAGAAAAAAAAACCCTGTAATATGATTTACAGTCTGTATTATGGAACGAAATGAGGTTAATGTTGACAGTGAAGACATCATTTAAATATTTAGGTGAACAATCCCTTTACAACCACTTTGATACTTAACAATAATATGTCTTAAACTGAGAAATTCTCAAAAAGTGAGGGAAGTTCAGTAAATTCACTAACCTTGAAAAGTTATTTGGGGCTTATAACCAGAACTGATGTGTTTTTATGTTTATAAGTGGCAAGGCTCAAGAGAAGATACCCAAAACAAAGGCCTGGTGCGTAGGTATTGCGTCACTCACAGGCTCACTTTTTCAAGACAAGGTTGTCAAGGGCAGGAAGTCTCAGTTACTGAAACAACATTGATAAAGGTTTGCTAACCCCCCACCCTGAGTGTGTGTGTATGTGTGTCTTTTAATGTATGTGATATGTGCATGTTGGTGCATTTGCAATTGGCTGCCAGGTAGTGACATCACCAGCACAGATCTAATTTAGGAGCCTTTTCTATATGTATTTAGTGGCCACAGTGGTCTTGCACACAACAAGATAATTGTATGTGTATACATTGATAAACATAAACCTGATTTCCTGATTTCTCAGGGTGGAAGGATTTTTTTTTTAGGTTAAACTTTTTTGCAAAAATCTCACCTACAAACACTGCAGTTGAAAAAAAAAAAAAAAAAAAAAAATATATATATATATATATATATATATATATATATATATATATAAAAAAGATTTCCATACCTCTTGAAGAATCTTCAGTGCCTTCACATGTCTGTAGATAATTGAAAAGAGGTGACATTATTTTTTTACTCTTAAAGACAGAACAAAACACCTGTCCAATTCTGTCAAGCAGACATATCCCTGATCATCCAAGTAAAACCAACATTTAAACAGTCAATTTATGAAGTCAGTTGAGATACATAAAACATCCATTTGAAGGGCTTAGGAGAAAAAGCACGCTTGCTTATTATATCGGATCGCATTTAATAAATCTACACGCTTAATGACTCATTGAGGCGCTGCTGAAATGCAATAACTTAAGGCAGACAGTCCAGTAATAGGCTGTCAGTTTGAGTATCAGAGGAGCTGTTGAGTGAATGAGAATAGACAGTGATAAAGATGTGGACGGGGTCTGGATAAAGAAGATCCCTGAAGGACATCACATGAGACACAATTGGTCTGTATCTGAAATGTGTTCAAATCCAGACAGAGACAAAGAGACAAACACTTACTCTCTTTCTGAGTCCACCAGGTCTTTGGCAACGTAGTAGGCTCTGGATCGGCCATCAATCTGAGAGTGACAGAAAAGCAAGCCATTAGAGATAAATGAAGAGACCCAGTGTTTTAAAGAGTACATAGTGCAGGCAGCACACCTGCAGCTTTTATTTACAACACTGAGTAAATAGAAATAAATAGATGATATCAATACTGTATATAAATGTATTGATAGATACATATATGAAGACAGAGTGAGAAAGGGATTGACATTCTGATCTAAATTCTCATTCAACCCTGTCAAAAGAAGACTGATTATTTCATTAAACCACAACATAAATGAGAAAGCTTTCCTGGACATGCCGCTTTAAGCACAGATGCATTATGGATGAGAGGCTGCGTTCATGGCAAGCACAAATCCACCATTGATTTGCAAGCTAATCACAGCTGTCTGAACACGTGCCTTACTACTGAATGGACATACTTAGGAGAACACCACTGGAACATAATTGCTAATACTATATCTATGTTTAGATTTGAATAGTTTTGTAAACATCTGGGCTAAGATCATTTTTATATGCAAACAAATCCATAATGAAACAAATTGTAAAGCGCAGCTGGCTTTTTTCCAGCTTGTTGTTGTGCCGGGACAGGTTACTCCCAGATATTCTTTTCTTTTTAAAGACGAAGAAAACAAGGAAGCAGGCGTCACAAGGCCGGGGCCCCGGCTGATATTACAGTGGCAGAGGGAAGGGGTGGGGTCCGGCTCTCACTGCAGCGCTACACTGACTGCCAAGAGATGTATGAACCTGGATCTCAGACAATTGCACACGCAGGGAATTCCACTTCAACAGGGAGGGTCCTTGTTTTTACATACTTTAAAGTTGTGATTATTCAGGTAATGGTGTATGGGAAGGTTATAAGAGGTACTGTAGTGAAAGTGTATACAAGATCGGAAAGTGTAAGATTAAACTGACAGACATTATTTTTGTGTGCTATTATAACACAAGAGTTTGTATGAGAGTTTATATGAGTTTATATGAGTAGGGCATAGAGAAGCACACGAGCAATAAGCTCGTCCCAGCCAGGTTCGTCACTTATTTGGTTCCCCTGGAAACATTTCCGTTGTGGTCTGTGTTATTTGCAGCGCGTTTCTGTATTCGGTTGGGTTGTGAACTTTTGCAGTGCACGTGTGTTGTGAAACTGATGAAGATGTTTTTTTTTTAATTTTTGTATTTTCCTGTTTTTTTATATTCTTGTGTTTTTTTCTATTTGCACGCATTATTTTCTATTTGCACGCATTATTTTCTATTTGCACGTTTGCTTCAGTTGCATCGTGTTGAGGTCTCTCGGTCACCATAACTTAGTAATTTTATAATGTCTTTACTGTCTATACTGTCATTTTTTTAACTTTTTTTTTAAAAGCATGAACATATGTTTGCAAAGATTTGGGAAACATGCTTAAATTCAAATGCTTGTTTTGCGGAAAATATAGCATTTGCATTCATGAAAGGCAGCAAACGAACTAGGTAAGAGAGCACATATTCTACAAGAACTAAAAAGCATCGGCACCCTACCAAAGAGGTCTATGACCAGAGGCATATTAAAAACACATAGTAAAATACGGATAAATATAGAGTGTAAGGCTCATCGCATTCCATTTTCAATTGCGCTTGTTGCTGTTGCGTGTCCTCAATCTAGCACCCCCCGTGTGAGCATTAAGTCTGAGGAAGAGGGAGCGAGGCAAACAACTCTCTCCAATATTTTGAATTTGAACTGCAGTAAGTATCCAATTTTACCGCTAGTTGTCAATATTACATAATGCACTTATAACAAAAAAAAAAAAACATATCGAATCCAAACTTTTGAACGGTCGTGTATGTACCACTACTAGTAAGCATTGACATGCCTTTGCAAATAGATACAATTTTTAGCTAACCTGTCGGTCATGGCAGTGGTCTCCACAACCGTCCTCTTCTTCAGATGTACGTCCATGATCTTCCTCATTGGACACAGTGGCAGACACAGGACCAACAGGAAAAGGCTCAGTGTAGGCACTGGGAATAGATGAAAACATGAGAGATTGATGGATTATACTCATTATGGATTAGTTACTACTGTACGTATAGGCTTTTCACACAATTTTTTTTTTAGTTTTGAAAAGAGATTAGTACCAATTTTTATATCAACTTATGAGTCCCTGCTTAAAGGAGTAGTTCACTTAAAAAAACAAAAAAACATTTGCTGATAATTTACTCACCCCCATGTCATCCAAGATGTCCATGTCTATTTTTCTTCAGTCGAAAAGAAATTAAGGTTTTAGGATTTTTCTCCATATACTGTAATGGACTTCAATAGACCTCAACGTTTCAAGGTCCAAATGACAGTTTCAGTGCGGTCTTATATAGCGAAACGATCTGTCATTTCAAAAATAAATAAAAAAGTTTACGTTTTATAAGCACAAATGCTCACCTTGCTCTATTCTGTGACGCACGTTTGTGACTCTACCGTTCGAATTTAGTTCAATCTTTTTTTTCGAGTCATTTAGTTAATTTCGTTCGTTGAATGAACAAAATGACTCGAAAAAAGATTTGTTCATTATTTTTGAGATGGACAATCGTTTCGCTAGATAAGACCCTTATTCATCGTCTGGTCTTGTTTACTGTCACCGTCCCACAGGTGGGACGTTTGCCACTATATTTTTAAAACAATAATATCTTAGTAAATACCTTAAATAATATTGACAAACTATATATCATTTGAAAGCTTACAATCTCTAGTTTCCATATTTGGTGACTGATTTTCAAAATATATTACAGAGGAGCCATAATTTATCCATATAAAACAAGAATATTTTCATACTCATAAGGCGTGTTCAGACCTTTATTTTAAAATAGCAGTAAACATGAAAAATCATGAAAAAATGGTAGATACCTCAGTTTGTTTTCATGTCAAAAGTTCAAAAGATAGAATCCATTCAATTATTTTGTAAAAAAAAAGGTCTGAAAAGTTTGAAATATCAAGAAAAAAATAATAAATTTACCATTTGTGACGTGGCAGCTAGCTATGACTTACATGCGTGTTCTTTGTATGCGTTTCTTAGAGGTTCAATTCATATCAAAATCTGCCAAACTTCCCATGCTACTTCTGAATAGGATCTCTACTTCAGAAATTGTATGAAAATTGTGAAAATAATGGTTCATATCACTCAAATCACGAATGGAAATGCAGGCGCCCTTATATGGGCAGTAATGGAGTCTGATTGTGCCCTAGTGAAAAAGTTTGGTACTGCGCTCAAACAAAATCTTACTGAAAGCTCATTTTTTGAGATATCAACCTAAAATTTGAAACACAACTTGTTCAGATTTTTGGCTTTGATCTTTCTGCCATTTTAGAGTAGCCCAGGTTTTGAAAATATATATTTTATGTAAAATATGAATAATTAATATTTTTACATTGTACATTTCCATAAACTCAAACTTCTATAACTTTTTTTTCTGTTTCACTTTCTTAATTTATTTCACTTCTACAAAAATCTGCCAAATGTCTTCTTTAAAACAAGACCAATCATATGTCTATATTCCAAAGCATTCTTGAATTACAACCATTTAAGTTCGAAATGTGCATTTTCATGTCTATTCAAAAAAGGGGGGGTGACAGTTAACAGGTTAAAGTGCTTTGAAGCTGCACTGAAACTCTCATTTGGACCATTGAAGTCTGTTATATGGAGAAAATCCTGGAATGTTTTCGTCGAAAACCTTAATTTCTTTTCGACTGAAGAAAGAGTGACATGGATATCTCGGATGACATGGGGGTGAGTAAATTATCAGCAAAAGTATTTTTTAAAGTGAACTACTCCTTTAATGCACATAACACATGCACAGAAACTTTCATGAGCTGACTTTAATTTTTAGCTTTCATCCTACTAAATGAACATTAAACCTACTAATGAAAGTCCACCACCATCACAGTGTCTAACAGAGCCCAGAGGAGAAACTTCACTGTTACGATCAGAACACTGCATGTGGCAAACAACAAACCATCCAATCTCTCCAAATCAAAAACAACGGAACAAATCGTCTCAAAAAAAAAAAAATATTTTGAATTAGAGGGCACTTTGCTATCCAGCAGAGCAGAAATTACCCTTTGCCAAGAAGAAACAAATTCCCCCTCTTCATTTAAACAAGACCTGGTGAGAATAATTTGTTTTTCCCTCCCCTGCTCCTCCTTACAGTAGTAACACGGATGGCTGGGGCCAGATTGCGAGGACGTTTGCGGTTGGGCATGAAAGGCTGGCTTGGTGATCCTGTGGTGAGCACTTAAAGCCGAAAAGAAGATGCAGCCCTGAGGATATGCAAATATGCACAATGAAGCTGCTTATACTGTGGAGGGCACATATGAGGGAAAGTTTGATTGCACTTATAGAGGCAACAGCAAGAATCGTTTAGACTTTTGCATTCTTTGTTTGAAAGATTATTTCACAGAGTCAAATTTAAAAGCAATAAAAATCAGTGTGTGAGTATACTGTCATATAAGCGCTTTAGAGGTGCTCAGCTGGGTGTCATACTACTCAAGGACACTGTAAGCTTCTGAAAAGCACACACACACACACACACAATGTCTGGAGGTGGAAGTGGAAATTGCTCATTGCTCATAGCCAGCTGAACTGGGCAAGCTAAGGTGACAGTTCATTTTAAGGCCCCAGATGAAGCATATATAGGAGCCTTCTGGCAGGACGTCACTACAATCTTCAGTGGCCTCACCAGCTGAGGACTCCATTTTCAGTGAAAGTGAAAGCTAAGACAAAGCTGTTTTTTTGTAACTGAAACACAGGTATTTCAAATAAATTCTAACTGAAATTGCTCATGCAGTTCTCCAGGATGAAACAAAACCGATATTTTGATCAACACATCTGGTTTTCAGACTGATATATGATTTGTATCTTTTGCATCACGCTGAGGGGATTGTCACGACACGACAATACGCATTTTCACTCTGCACTGTAAAAAAATATTTTCATGATTTGTAAATCACAACATTTTTTTCTTTTGTCAAATCAACTTAAATCATTTATGTAGTTCAGATAACATAATATTTTGAGTTTCGGGTGATTAAATCAATCTCCTTCATTGTATTAACTCAATTTTTCCATTTCAACGAACTTAAAATTGTAAGGCAACCAGGTTACTTAATTGTTTAAGTTAAAGCAACAATATTTGGCAAAAGTAAAAAAGCAAAAAATTGAAAAAGCAAAAAAAAAAAAAAGTGTGGTGAAAAATAAATACAAATAAAAAGTAAATAAATATTATAAATTAAATAATATTAATATATAATATATAATATATAAACATTTGCATATACAAAAATTAGCAAATACAAAAAGCCATTGGAAAATTTTGAAGTGTGTGTAAAATGTGCATTCATCTCTGCCACTGTACATAATCTCTCCATCAGTCAAAAGTGACAATTTACACAATCCTCCTGACTCCTCAACATTACCATTTATGAGAAGCAATTATAGAGCAAAGTACTTCTCTAAGCTGTTTGCTTTAAGGTACCCATGAGCTAAATTTACTGCTGAAAATTACACAGAGATTGGAATGATTTCCTATAACACACCTATATGTCCTACTGCCTGATGCTTCCCTGGGGCTTGTTATATGTAATTCAATTGATTTAAACTCTTGATAATAAAATATACATTAGAAACCCTGGTGTTTCTCTGTCTGAATCTGTGTAATAGTGCTATTATAGAAGATAAGCATCGCTGAGATGACTTCATTACCAGACTTCATTTAACAAAACGTATTTTAATGCAGATGAGGAGAAAGTGAAGAACGTTTTGTGTTGGTTGAACCGACTGTCTATTCTTGCTTGGTTTTAGTTTGGTGGTGTTAAAGGGATAGCTCGTCCAAAAATGAAAATTCTGTCATCATCAGGGATGTTTGTTCGTTTTGTCATCTTTTCAGAATCATTTAATTTATCTTTAATGTTAAATGCTTTAAAATCCGTCACATTCAGTTCAAAGGATCAGCTTTCTTACAAATATCTGTTACAGTTTTAAGTTGTAAATATTATTCAAGTCAAACACTGACCCCTGCCTTTACTGTAATATTAGAAAAGACACAAAGAAAGCTGGGAACGATGACAACAACAATATCTTTGTGGTAGCCTTGCTTTCCTGACTGCCACACCTCGCCTTGTTGTTTGGGTCGCAGGGGAGTCTGGGAGATCGGTATTGCCTGTCTCCACCCCATCCCACTGACCCTGTCCCCTCGCCCTTGTCCTGCATTTCCTGTAAACAGCAGTGTGGAGGCTCATTGGCTGGGTGCGTCTTCTCTTGGGATAACCTGGCAATGACCTGAGAGCCCTGGGCAACAGGCCCAACTCAGACCGGACCGGACCAGGCCAGACCCACACCCAAGTTTTGTGAGCATTAAAATGCAGAAAGCATTCAGAACACATATGAAAAGACATATACTTTTCCTCCTCAATTCTCTTTATGCATGTTTCAAACTGTCTTTCTTAGTAGCTCTTTTCCTTTTATGTTTTTTTTTCTGCTATGCTTGCTGTATGTTTGTTAATTTTCTTATTCTACAATGTGCATAATAATACTAATAATCAAGACATATCAAGAGAATGAAGGGTCAAAAACAACTCAAAATATAATATAATATAATACAAAAAATATTTTCAAAATTTGTTATCACAACATATTTTCTTTTGTCAAATCAACTTTATAATAATTTATTTAGCTGAGATAACTTATTATTTGGAGTTTCTGATGGTTAAATTAATCTACTTCATTGTATTAACTCACTTTTTCCAATTCAATCAACTTAAAATTTTAAAGGCAACCCAGGTTACTTACTTTTTTAAGTTAAACCAACAATATTTTTTTACAGTGTAGTAATCACAACATTTTTTCTTTTGTCAAATCAACTTAAATAATTTATTTAGTTCAGATAACATATAATTTTGAGTTTCTGATGGTTAAATTAATCTCCTTCATTGTATTAACTCACTTTTTCCAGTTCAATGAACTTAAAATTTTAAGGCAACCAGGTTACTTACTTTTTTAAGTTAAACCATAATTTTTTTACAGTGTATAATATAATATAATATAATATAATATAATATAATGCTGCAAAGATCTTTAGACAATCTGCAGTTTCTGAACGCATGAATAAACATAAAATCAATTGAAACATTTTTAATTATTATTGATGATTTGAGTCTAATTACCAAATTCTATAGGAATACTTTTGAAAAATAATCATTAAGATTATATATGTCAAATATTTCTACAAGATGAGGTTCAATAGTCAATATTATACGCATAATATTATACACCCAAACATTTTTAATTATTATTGATGATTTGATTAATTACCAAATTCTATAGGAACACTTTTGAAATAATTATTATTTTTTTTTTTTTTTTAATTCTATAGGAATAATTTTTCCTCAATCATCTTCTCACACTACCCACTCTCCTTTGGCACCAGCAAAGAGTACAAAACGTTTCTCTGATTGGCTTGGGCATGAAAAAAATATTCTTATACATCTGCAATCAATCACTATCCTGTCATTGTGTCTCCATCCACCAAAGTGGCAATGTCAATTTTTCTCTGCAGGCATTCAAAATACGACAAACAAAAACAGACAGAACATCAGCAGTGACGGAGGATTCTCTTGGGACACAGAGCGGCTAATGGTGCAGACACATAGACCCATTTGCAAGCATGCAATGCTGTTAGATTGCACAGCAACACAATGAGTCAATAATGTCACCAGAAAAAAGGTCCCTGGCTCCCATATCATCTTCTGAATAATGGAGGATGCTCAAAAGTGTGGCACATAAACACTTTAGCCAGGGGTAATATCCAAAAGTAGTGAGTATATATTCACACCATCCCTAGCAGGCTAGTACTCAAAAATAAGTCAATAACGAATTACTGGTAAAAGCTGAAAACACAGACTGAAGTAAAAGACCTGCAAAACTTCCAAGACCTGCCCAAAACACACCCATTATACATTAAGAGAATAGGGACAACCCTTTTTGATCATGTTAGACTAGCAAAAGTGGATTCGGACACGCCCTAAATGCACTTGCGCCCTGCGCTTTAGATCATGCGCAATAGATCGTTAAAATAGGGCCCATGATCTTTAATCAAAATAAACTCTCCTCCCTCTTGCAAAAACATTTTTTTCTGTTCTCTGAAATATATTTTTTTCCAAAAACTGCATGAACTGCACGTGAAACTGAATGTGAGTGATAAACAATGGAGAAGTAACAACATTACGAACAATTCTGGAAATTTCCCATGTGTTTCTCTGAAAATCGGATTAAAAAGCAACCCAGAGAACACTTGAAACAGTCATGGTCTTTGACTACACTGGAGGTAATCGAGCAGAGGTTTCTAATGATGACTCTAGGGTGGTAAAATGAGAGCAGAGAGGGTCATACGGTCAAAAGAAGGTCAGAAAGTCATCTGTCTTTGAACCACTCTACAACCTCAAATCTCCCAAAAGCCCAATAAAAGAAAAACACTTGGGGAATTTGGTTTATTAACACTACATGCTACTAAAATGCTCATGCAGAGAACAGAAAACTCTCCACCGGTTTTCTCATCTATTCCCCTCCACTCAGCTGCATCAGGCTGTGAGAGCATTGCAATAAAGGAGAAAAATAGCCTTAACGTTTAATCCACTTTCTTCCCATACTATTTGTATCATTGAACTATTGCATTGTATTCTTTATCACACAGATAGGGTACTCCAACAAATGTACCATCAAATCCTGCAAATGAGAAAATCAGATACCCTGCCAAGCATAGTCCATCTTTTCAACCAATGAAACTCAATACCACAGGCTGCTCCACTACTACATGCACAACACAGCACCCACAGCGTAAGTGTTTGGCAAGTCATTTTGTTTCATGATACACTAATTTATATAACAGTTAATGGCTTTCCAGCCAGTTGATCTTACATTGCAAAATTAAAAACACACAAATGGGCCATAATGTGTCTAAAATGAAAGTCATTCACTTTTACCTTCAGCAAAAAATCAATAGCACATTAACAATCATGCTATTGTGCTGAATATCAGCAAGGATGCAAGCCAAATTTCACAATTGTGAGTGTGATATTGCTTAATTACTAGTGAACATGGACAACTTTTTGTCCAAAAAATACAACAATCTGTCCAAAAAAATCAATTTCGATTCGATTTCAATTCACAAGCTTGCAATTTGAATAGATTCTGATTCGATTTGATATGATTATTTTGGATGTAAATCAGGTAGAGTATATGACACATTTTCTCAAAGAAAAAAAAACCTCTCAACTAAACTATACAGGGAATCAGTTGGTATACAGTATATTACTGTAATACTGAAGGTTAGAATGAACTGTAACTGATTTGTAGACAAACACTTAAATTACACACAATGAAGTTTTTACAATAATTAAGTTATAATACTAACTTTACAATTATGTTTTTTGAAATATAAACATTTAAATGGTGGATGTCATAAAAAGTTCATGGATGTAATATGGTGCATATACAGTATTTAGATTTTATTTTATGTGACATAAACTCATTTATTTACATCTTTCTTTGGTTAAAAACACTATTTGAGCAATTATATGATACATGATACAGATTTCGGAAAGTTTTTCTGAAGTTGCATCTTGTAACATACCTTCTGATGTTCATTTATGTTTATTTCATGGTGTAACTAGTGGTAAAGTGAAAGAGATGCCACTTTGATTGATCTGAGTCAGCAACAGCAATCGTTACACATTAAAAAGCACCAAAACTGTTGGAATTGAATAATAAAATGGACAGATTTCATAATCTAAAATTTTTTTTGTCATGACAAAGCACAACGCTTATTGTGATTTATTGGATGGGAGGCTCGCTACAATGTTCATTCATAAACTAAAAACAGGATCAACTAAAGGATCGATTCTTGGGATTTAAGAATCGGTAACAGAATATAAAAATGAGAATCGATTAAAATCGAAGAAATTTACATTTGTTTCCCAGACTTAATACTGAATGTAGATATATCTGTTCAATATTCCATGATGTAGTCTAGTATATCTGTAATAATTTAAGTCTCGTTTATTCAGTCAGGAATTACAGAAAGTGTTCTGAGACAGAGAGAGGTGCAAGCTGAGCTATCAGAGTGACCAAACACTTGCCTAATTTCCTGTTAACATTGTTTTGGCCAGCACTTCCTCCAGACTTGTGTGATGGTATTGCCATTGTGTTCAGAGGAAGGGGTTTCAGCATTCAAAATATAACTCTCTAGACAATCTTATGCTACAGTCTGATGATTTCAACAGAAAAAAGTCTTGCTATTATAGTTCATTTCAATCTCTTTAATCCATTTTTTTTATGTGGAATGTGGAAAATATGCATTTTTAATCATGTAGTTCTATAAAAGGCCGACTTTACCTTTCAGTGTCTTGCTCCTGAGAGGTGGTCTTGTTTTCTATTCCTGCAAAACTATTCATGTCCACATAGCCATCGTTCTCATTGGCATGTGCTGCTGTCCGATTGTGGTCATCGAAGAAATCTGTAATAGTGACTGCCCGAGTGGGCCGCCCATGTGGAATCTGGATATTCTCATAGTCTGAGCTCATTGCGGGAATGTTTTCATAGTCAGAAGTATCTGCACTTGGAAAGGAGATGGAGCGAGGCTTTGTGAGAGGTAGGGGCATGTAGGGGGGCCGAGAGCGGTCCTCAAAGGACTCCACTCTGGCTATACCCCTGTTGCTGAAACTCTTGGGTGCTCCTTGCCTTCTTTGCCTCTCTTTGTAAAGCAGAAAGGTGGTAGGCGTTTCTGAGTTGTGTTGTGGCTTTCCCACATGGGACTGAAGCTGCGGGGAACCACTTGTACTTCTTCGATCAAGCTCCAGTACTCGAATGGGCCCGTGGTGGCTAGATTCAGATGATGACCTTGAGGAGCGAACACTGCCATCTCCACGGGCTTTGCTTTCTGATTTTTTCTTAAATTTTAAAGCCAAGAAACGCTTAAATGATGTTGTCTTCTTTTTGGGGTTGTCAGGAGACTCATGCTGGATTAGAAGTGATGGAGAGCTTTTGGTCACAGGCCTCTTAGTTATGTAAGCTAACTCAAAAGGCGGTGGGATATCGACTAAAGATGTAGGTGTCGACACACCACTGGAGGACTGGTGACTTCTCTGAGAAAAGCTTCCAGAGGAAGTAATGACACAAGGCAAAGAAAGTGTGTCATCTTTTCTTTGTAATCTGCATTCCTCTCTAGGAGATTTCTCACCCTCAAAGATTCCTGACAATGGCAAATCTCTGCTCTCAACGGAAAGCGATCGAGGGGAAAGAAGAAAGCGCCTTGGCTTTAATGAGGGAATAATTTGGTTGGCCTCTGTTTCATCTGAAAGCTTGGGATGTGGATCTCCATTTTGATCCAAGGCCACAGTGTAGTAGTCATGAGATTGGTAATCAGTGGCCGTCTCCTCAGGCACAGTCTCAGGAACATATCCAGGTACTTTCCCAGAAAGCGAACGAGATCTCGTCACAATGCTCTTCCTGTCCATAGAGATAAAGTTCTCACCTTCTGAGTCAAAGCCAGCCTCCTCGTAAATGTGTTCGTCACTTTCTGTGTCCGATTCCTCAAAGAAAGGCACAATATGGCAGTCCAGCTCTTCAATGTCCTCTTCAAACGCTTCCGTGGTATGGGCAAAAACCAAACGGTTTGTAAGTTCTGGAGTTCTACCTAAATCTAAGTCAGCAGGAACGGTGATGTTGCAAAGTCTCAGACGTGGCTGGCAGCTGTTCCTCTGACTCAAGAGGGCTTGTCCCCGTCTAGCTGATCGTTCTCTTATACTTTTGCCCTTGGTTTTCCTCTCCATGTTTACTGGCTCATCTTCATCTCCTATCTCGACATAATCTTCAGATGAAACACACTCCACCTGCTGATCAGCCCCATCATGGTCTTCAATATCAGCATAGTCATTCGCTCCTTCGTTTTTTGGCATCTCTTGACCCTCAGAGACAGGTTGCAAGACACCATTTTCTAATTTAGCCTGTTCCTCCTCCAACTCTTCCACATCCTCTGATGATACATAGTAAGGTTCTTGTTTTGATGTTCCCTCTGTTGAGTCCATTGGTTTCTCATTGCTGGATTCTTCATCAGAGCATCTTGCTTCTGGATCAGAGGTGCATGTCAAATCACTTGGCACAACCTCAATGACAGAATAGGGCTCGAATGCATCTTCTGTCTCCTCTGCAAACCTGAAGCGTCCAGATGGGTCTTTGGTTGCACGTTCAGCTTGCCAAGTGCTGTTATCATCCACTGTGCCAATAATGTCATAAGGGTATTCCTCACACAGTGAGGGTTGACTGCAGTTTGTCGCCTTTGAAAAAAGCCCAGTCTGATCTTCTTCTGCCTCATGATGAACAAAGTTTGCAGCTGTTCTATTGTCCTCTTCATAATGATCATTGGCACGTTGAAAACTGTCTGATGGTTGTTCCTCAATCTCTTCATACGGACTTTGACATTCATCTGTAGGCTGATCTTTAGTAGGTGTCTCATTCTCAGAACATGCAGAGGTGTCCTCAAGTGCATTATAAGAATCTTCTCTATTTTCAGATGGCTTGGTATCATCAGTGCTTTTGCTGTGGACTTCATCTGTTGAATCAAGAATTTCATCAACCATTTCTGACAAACTTGAGGAGGCATGCGGCACTTCAGTAATATCATCTTTACCATCATTCTCTCCCACAGAGTCATCTGCTGCCATTTGTAATTCTTCGTCTATTTCATTATAAGTTGTGTCATGGTTAGTGTCAGATAAGTTTTTTTCAAATAAGTTGCTCTCCATGTGATCATCAGTACAGTTTTCTCTGAATGCGTCAGTTTCATCCTCTGTGACATCTGATTCATTGTCCTGCTTCAGCTCCAGTCTATCAGAGGATGTTATGTCCCCATTACCCACAATGCATTGGCTCAATTCAAAGGCTAACCTTGGTTTGGGTGCCACAGGAGGTTTAGGACCTCGGGTGGAAGGACAAGGCCTTGACATCAGGGTGGAGCACACAGTTATAGTCAAATGGCTTTGTCTTTGGTTGATACGTTTGGAAATGCTGCTAAAAATCTGCAATAGAAAGAGAAAAGAGGATAACATTTCATTGTTGAATTGCATATCTTTGCAATAGAAATAAATGAAAGACCCTTTAATCATGCCATTAAGAGTTCAGCTGTTCCTTTAAAGACACATATTGATTGATTTACATTGACCATTTGATTGACGAACTGCAACTTCTGAACTTAAAACTTAATGAAGTGATTATATGCTCAATCCAGTCACACTGAACATCATTTTCACAACAATAAAGCAAAGTGAAAAAAGCCACATAAATAATGTATTTTAATAACATCACTGCAATTCTGAAGTGCATCTTCTCATAAAGGGTTAACCTGAGGGCCATTTTTGGTGAAACACACCCTTTCTCTTAACAAAACTCATACTCCCCTGGTCTTTTCCTGTTATTTGCTACCTGCCTTGACGCACGTCCTATTAAACTCACCGTGCACTTGGTGCTCACCCTGCTAAGATGTTGTTTCCTGACACGACTAATTAACTATTCCAGCAGACTCTCCTGGAAGGACTGCGGACAGGAAGTGCAAAGGGGAAGGACATTAACAGTGCACCCTGTCTCCTCCTTGAACCCCTTACCCATTTTTTGTTTTCTACAAGAGCACAGTTTTGCACAACACAAATGCACATCCTTCTCGTCAGTCTTCCCATGATTCACTGTCCAGTGATAAATCCCACCCCTGACAACCCCCAGACTGGATTTTTTTTTTTTTTTTTTTTTTTTTTTGCTGAAAAGGTCGCTTCAGTGCGTTGAAGAACAATAAAAAGAGAAACATCAACATCCCAACTAGGTCCCCTTGGCAAAATAACAGGATATGAATTATGCAACAAGAATTCACTTAAAACAAATGGTTAAACACAATAGGAGGAATAAAGGGAGAAACAAACTCTTTACTGTGTAAAGCCATCATGATCTCAGATCTAAAGTGTCAACCATTTATACTTGCTAATTTAGCCCTACCAGCTGAGTGAACAGGACATAATTCAGAAAGACTGAATTAACATAATGTGACAAAATCATAAATTAAATTATGAGCATTTATAAATATGTATTATTAGAACTAATAACCTATTTATTAGTGTTTGAAAAAAACACTCAATACAGCATCGTTCATAATAACTTTATGACTATAAAAATGTCTACATATGTCTAAGGCAGTTCCTAAAATCTGCTAGTAATTTAACACACCATCAAAACAGTGTAACTGTATATGAAAAAAAAACATTTTCCTGTCATTATAAACTTTTTTCACTATTATGCATTCAATTAGGCTACTCTTTAATATATAACATAATGGGATGTTGTCTATTTATTATGCATAACACATTCGCAAAAAGTAAAATAATTTAATAGTATTGAAAAGTTAAATCAGAACTATTTGGTTTCATACCTGCGTACATTGTCGGATGTCATCCACCGTGGCATCTGAAATATTTCCACATTATTCCTTGATATTCCGCAGAAGCAACAGTATATCCAGAGGTGCCGTGAACTTACTCCCGGGACATTTGTCATAAAGCTTGAGAAGTAAACAATAAACACTTCATCATTTATTCGACGTCGTGCCACAAAAAAACTGTTTTATTATCGACTGTAGCAGCAGGTCTAGATCCGCGCGCTTCCCGCTTTAAGGAATGAGAGAGATGCGCGAACTCTCCAATCTGCGCGTGGAGACTGAAGGTGTTTTCCGTGCGCTTCCTGAGGAGGTACAGCGAGTCCCTCTCACGGGAATACAAGGATCGATGACCGAAACCACAGAGAAAAACAACTATTGCCAACCATCAGTTGGCGTATGGCACTTTCAAGAACAACTGCTCCATTAGGATACTGCAACGATATGTTTCAGGATCCGATTTAGAGGATATCTGCAGAGGATTCCTTGCTCTCACAGGAAAATAACTCGATCTAATCAAACTGCGCGTGTACTACCACATCGTCTTTCTATTTAGTTGTATAGCCTACCTTAAAACTTCGGACATACGATAGGCTACTGACAAATTTTCTATCAATAAGGTTAATTGCTCTACTTAATTGCGTTTAAAAACACGCAAACTTTTAAACAATGCAATCATTTTGTTGGTAGCCTTTCTAAGACTATTTCATGTAATTTGGTTAAACAAATATTCCTAAAACCGGTTCTAAAAACAGTTTTACTAAATGCTCTCAGCAAGGCTTCCTTTCTGCTCATCTGTTGCCTGATTGGAGGAAAGCAGCTCTTTAAAAACCTCTCTTCATAACAGGAAACTGCTATCCCTCTTTCCTGCACAACAGGCAACGCTTCCTTAGCAACAAATGAACCAGTGTACTGCTGTTAACACACTCCCCCCCCCCCCCCCCCTAATTTAACTTCACACTGATAGGAGAGCACTAATTCAATGAGTATTTTTAGATTAACCTGTTCTTATAAATAAACAAAATAGGGAATGTCCAAGGGATGCACCAATTTTTGTGTCAAAATTTGTGATAGTTCCCAGTTTAAAGGTAGACTAAAGACGCATTAGTCCAGGCATTCATATAATTTTTTTATCTTACAGTTACTGTAAATGTGGCCTCTAGTTCATAAATGCCAGAGGAGAACTGGCCCCCGATTGAGCCTGGGTTCTCCCAAGTTTTTTTTTTTTCTCCATCGGGTCACTTGATGGAGTTTTTCGGTTCCTTGCCACTGTTGCCTTTGGCTTGCTCAGTTGGGAATATTCAAATTAAATGACCCATCATTGATCAACTCTACCAAACTTCAATGTCTTTTTTCCATGAATAAACAAACACTGTTAAGTTGTCTTGATTGATATTGTGAAGAAGCTTTGATACAATCTGTATTGTGAAAAGCGCTATATAAATATATTTGACTTGACTTGATAGTCCTGACTCACCTAACATGAAAGAAGGAAGAAAAAAAAACCTCACCATGACAGCGGTCTGCAAGCAATGACTTGATTGGACTGAGCAAATTTAGATATGCGAATGCACCATTTCCGTCAGCTTCTTAGGAACACACTTTTACCTACAATAATCATTCTGTGTGGATGTTGCATGAAATGGGTCTGACTCAAAATACATAACATCAAATACATTAATTAGAATTTAAAATGAGTAGTATTAAAAAGTCAACATTGCTTCTCCTCTACAACAAGTCCGTTCAGACAAATCTTTGCCATATTGGCTATAGTATCCACCAAATCAGGTATTCTCTGACAGAGCCTTTGTTACAGCCTAATGAACACAGAATTATAAGACTAGATAACCCCCAGCTGAGATGCTACATTTCTGTGTTCAAGGGCAGACAACAGTCCTGAAACTCACTGTCAGCCACCTGGGGCTCCATGTTGACAGCTTATATCACAAGCCAAACCCTCAAACATTAGGTGGCAAACACCGTAGAACTATTTATACCCCCACAACAGGACTCATATTCATATCTCTCTATCTCTTTCTTTCTCTCTATCTGAAGGTCAGATGAACACCATGGACGATAGCATAGCAGAGGTAAGATGTAGGAGTGTAGCACAAGGGAGCCGGCCATATGTTTCACTTAATTAATATCATCTTTTGTTATTCTCTTTGGCTTCAGAAATGGACATCAAATGTCAATAAACAACTTCAATTATGAGCTTGACATTAGTAAACACCATAAAATAATTGTTTTGTGGCCTTGACCCCTCTCAAGACAAATATTTACAACAGCTACAGCGTCACATGAGCTCTCACAGGAAACATTGTTATTCCTGTAAACTGTCCGACAGCTTGAATAACAACATTTAACAGAAATCTCCTTTCTCATGATACAGTGTTCTTTAAAACAACCTAATATTTCAGAATCCATTCTTAATATAAATTACTCAACCTTTATCACGTTAGACTGATACTTGGAAATCTGCTATATACTGTAGTAGTCTTTTTCTAGCTAATGTGCCTCTTCTTTTGTTCTTTTAATGGCAAACCACAGCTAAAGATAGCATACAGCTGGCCTTTTGCAGTGCTAATTGTGTCCCTTACTGGAAAGTTTACTATGGCACAAAATTTGACCTTTTTTGCATTTTTATCAGACAAATGTGTTTTCGTGTGTGGGGACGGGCACATAGCGGAGTGTGCTTGCAGGCATTGTAACTGAAGGGGTGACTGAAAGAATAGCCCTGGGATAACAACCCTGCAGATGTGGTCTATATGCACAGGAGAAAAACATGTTTTTAGAAATCTGTGAACAAATATTTCTGAGCGAACAGATCCGCAGAGCTCTGTTCCCCTCCACCTGGACGGCTGCATTATGGCACATGCCTGGGATAAGAGGAAAAACATGTCAGAAACCAACTTTTTACTCATAAACACACACATGTATTCACAGAACTGAACCTAAACAGGAAACTGATTGGGAAAGAGGGTCAATGACTTTTTTCCCAGAGCTCGTATGAGTCTCTCACCACTCTTCTCATAACACCTGCCTTTAAAAGAACACACTGAATGTTTCTAAATTCTGACGAGCTGAAAAAAGCAGGGTATTATTGTACTGAAAAAGGTACATTCGGACAGTTACAACCTCAACATGTTTTCACAGAAGGAAGTCTCACTGATTTGTGTCAAATTCTGTTATATAATTACATTTAGGACATAACAAGAAAACTATATGGACCCTTTTCACAGATTGTGATGATTGTAAATCAATGTAATACACATTTATAATGCTATATTGTGCACCTTGCCAGTAAATTATACTTCTAATACAACAGCTGAGGGAGTGATTTGACATCTTTGACAAACTTGACAACATAATCAATCTATATTATTTCCCCTCTTTTGGAAAGGCATGGAAGCTTTTTACCTTTGATATTGGAGCAAATGGAAATTCAAAAATGATATTTGCTTTCGTCTCCTGTTCTCAATTAAACGAATTTTACCTAACTATGACGATTTGCTTTTCTAAAAACACCAGAAATGTGAAATGGGTCCATTTGTAAAATGATGATCACTTCATGACTATCGATTTAAGCTATTCTAATTAAGACACTTTTTTTTTGCACCAATCAGTTCAATTACTCATTAATATGAAAGTACTCTACAACAGAAAACAGATTTCTCCACTCCATTGTGGGGTCTCCAGGTGTCAGACAGTCATATTCCCCTATAGGAAAGAACATGAAAGAAAAATGGTATCAGCACTCTTAGGCAACTCAAAAGCACAGCTACAGAAACAACACTCTCACCTTCCCCCCAGTCCCTCGACCAATGACACACTGCTGGAGAAAAACAGGTGAAGCCAGGAGTCAGCACTTCATCAAAAATAGCAAACAAAGACTGCTCTCCCTGTGGAGTCCAAGACCTCTCAAGCCAAATCAATACGACACCGCTGGCAATGCGGGGTTATTGAAGAGTGCATATGTGTAGTTAAAAATTATAGAGCAACTGTGACGATCTGCGTGCAGCCGTTTTTAACCTTGTGTTCATTTGCGTTAATAGGGTCAATGTCTTTTTGTAATGATCAATTGATTTTTCTTAAGAGGAAAACGTCAGGATGACGAGCAAGTTTGTATCTATAGCACGAATGTCATTTCTCGTGCAATTTATATGCCAAAAACAATTTTTGCGTGTATATGGTACGCATTTTTCGCTTGCATATGATACACACTTTATGGCGTATAATGCGCGGGAACTCCCCACCCCCGTCCCCTCTAAACCTACCCCAGTGTTTTTTTTAGTGCGTAGCATATGCACGCAAAAAACATTTTTGCCGTATAAATTCCACGAGAAATGACATGTGGTATAGATACGCATTTTCATGAGACTGTGTTGGGATGACACAACTGCACAGATATCATAATGAAGAAAAAAAACTTTGCTTGAAAATGGCAGCAATATGAAACCAGGATAAAATTCAAAGAACTTTCAAACAAATTTGAAAAGATTTGTCTTTTTTTTTTTAATTTTGAACAAGGACTCTTATTCGACTAAAATTCAGTGCATCAAAAAATGTCATATTACGTTAAATGTAAAACTTGGAGAGTTTTTGAGTTGTGTGTGCCATGAACTGGGGGTGGGGAGAACAATTATAGCTGTGAATGATATTCTTTTTTTTTTTTTACATCAGCTTCTTGTTGTTAAAGTAGTCCATAGTAGCCTAGTATATATATATGAATAACCATTTGAAGCTTATTGCATGTTTTATACACAGCGAAAAAAGCATGTATTTGATCGACATTCCAGAATAATCAGCAAGCTGTGGATTTGGGATGTTTATATATAGTTGTCAAAGAATGGGACGCTTCATTTAATTAAAAATTATTTAGGGATACATAAAGCTGTTTAGGGATACATAAAGCTGTGCTCCATTCCTATTCTTTCCAACAGCAAAGCACTTGAACTCAATGAGCTCGTGATCCCTAATTCAGAAGTGGGAACAAATTTACAATATTTCATGCAGATATATTGCAATTTTCACATGTTGAGAGGGTAAAAAATGACTATGAAGTAACTGCGTAGGGAGAGATAGAGTGATTAGTGAGATTTCTAACAGGTGGGTTATGCTAAGCAGGAGGTCATGTCTTGATTCTTGGTAACGAGTCTCTTGTTTTGCCTCCATACCCCTCTCAGAAAGACACAATCCTCAGAGCCGCACTGTAATAACATCGATTTACCGTTCATAAATAAAAGTCTCAAGAAGCCTCATAAAAAGACTTGTGGCTTGGCCTTTAAAAGCGCAGCACAATGGGCCAGTCAAACACTAGCCTATAGCCTTTAGCACAAAAGATTTATGGACCCCGGAGAGTTTGATTTCTTTTGAAAAATGGTGCAGAGTGCCTGGCTGCCCTTTTCCGTCACATTCATTCTCACTTTCTGTTTTGCTTATTCTAATGCAAACACAAACACATGCGCCTTACAGCTGCACCCTCATTAGGCCACAATGATATTTATTCGGATCCAAGACACAAAAGATCTCAGGTCTGTGCAAAAGAATAATTTCCAAGCTGATTGGCAAGACCAATTTGCTGATCTTTCGTTCTGCAGGTCCTAAGGGGAACAATACCACTGTGTAAAAAAAAGTCCCCTAGGCTGAATTTACTTTTTCCTGTGACTGTTTTAACATCTTTCAGCCAAATGAGACTGAACGGATGCAGATACTAAGTTTAAAAATATCGGTGTTTTCTAACCTCTTTTGGCCCCGGCTGTCAGACGCTCCCATTTATCTAAAAGTCTTAACCAATGAAGGTGAAAT